ACTCCCTTGTCCGAAATCCTGAAGAGCTGCTGTCAGCCAGTGTCGACAATATGGAGCAGCAGCCTGACTTAGTAGAGATGGCAGCTCCCTGTATTTGCAGGCATGTCAGAAGAACGAGGGAACTTTGAGCCCTCCTGGTTGAAGGACGGATGGATTTCCAGTGCTGCTTGCAGGTCTGCCCAGACAGCCCCTCTGCTGAGTAAAAAGCAAAATGGATACAGCTGCTCTTCTTAAGAGAGAGCCAGAGCATTGGCTCCACCTAGCTCATATCGCATGCACTGACTGGCAACAGTTCTCCTGGGTTTCACGCAGGGACTCTCTCTGAGCCCTACCTGGAGATGCCTGCGTGGTTGAACCTGGGTCCTTCCACATATAGCTCTGCCGTTGAGCTACAGCCCTTCTGCACCGGGCTAGCGCCCTGTGCTACAACTCCCATGACGGCAAGGCATGCTGGCTGGCAGCTGAAATCTGGCAGCATCCAGGCGGCAGCTGCCCTTTGAAGATTTCTTGGGGTGACAAGGGAAGGAGGGAAAGAGGTCGCTGCTGGGCTGAGGGCCCCGGAGAGACTGGTGTACGCAAAGTGGGACGGGAGCCAGCGAAGCCACGGCGGATGACGTCCCATTGCAGCGCTTAGAATAGAAAGCATTACTGGGTTAGAAGGTGACCTTGCCTCTTAATCGCGCAGGGAAGGCTGCCTTTGGAGCTTTTCCAGGGCTAAAGTAGTAAAGCTGTTTCTGATAGCATGAAAGGAGGAGGAGGAGGAGGAGGAGGAGGAGAGTCCCTGGCTCAGGTGACAGAGGAGGCAAGGAGCCTTTTAAGCCGCAGGAGGGAGAGGGACCCGGTAAATCCCCACCAGGCATCTGGGCTGACCCAGCTGCTAAAGTAAGGTGACCAGACGTCCCCGTTTCCTGGGGACAGTCCCCAGATTTACAAATCAGTCCCCTGACAAGATCCATCCATTCCAACTTCCCCGGATTCTTTGAAAAAAAATCTGGTAACCTTCCGCTAAAGGCGTTTCCTCGAATGGGGTTGTTCTGGGTTCTTGCCCAACCAAGCTGCCTGCAGTGCCAAAAAGAGGGCTCAGATTTGCACAGAATTGGCCCGTGATGCTCTAAATCAGCCTTTCTCCACCTGTGGGTCCCCAGATGTTGTTGGACTACAACTCCCATCACCCCTAGCTAGCAAGGCCAGAGCTCAGGGATGATGGGAGTTGTAGTCCAACAACATCTGGGGACCCACAGGTTGAGAACCGCAGCTCTAGTTATATATATCAAGGCATGAAGGAAGCTTCTTCAGCTTGAGGGCCTCATTTCTTTCTGCGTAGGCTTCTGGGGGCCAGTGGGTGGGCATGATCCCCGCCTGAACAAGCCGCCCTGCAGACAAGTCATCTCCTCTCAGTCTTCTCTTTCCTTGGCTAAATGTACCCAATTCCCTCAACCATTCCTCATCAGGCTTGGTTTCCCCACCCTCGATCATCTTGGTCTCCCCTCCTCTGAACACCTTCCGGTTTGTCGACACCCATCTTAAATTGTGGCACCCAGAACCGGACACAGGACTCCAGGTGTGGTCTGACCGAGGCAGAACAGAGCGGATGATGGACTACTCCGAAATGGCAAAACTAACTGGGAAGCTCAGGAATCAAGAAGAAGAGATCTCTAAAAAAAGAATGGGAAAAGTTTATAATGTATATACAAGATTATTGTAAGCAGGTTAAAACACTGGTAGGATTGTAAACACACTTGTAATGTAACAGTATGTATGGATAATTTAGAAAGAGAAAAATTGTAGTGATATGGCAGGCATGTCCAAAGTCCGTTTCGGGGGCCTAATCCAGCCCCCTGGCTGGTTTCATCTGGCCCCTGTGGCAGTTTATTTCTTGGGGTCAAATCCTAAAAAAAGCTCAGCGACTTTGGTCGGCCCTCACGCATGTTCACTTCATCAAATCTGGGCACCCCGTGATATGCAGTTGAAAACAGGATTAATAGGGCCCATGGAAGGGATGATTCAGAGTATTCTTGACATTTGGACTCAGAATGGTTTTTGTGGTATGATTATATTTTTTTTTGGGGGGGGGAATTACTTTTTAAAAAAAGTCAGAACAGAGCAGGACTATATACCACTGAGCCATACGTTGACTGGATTTAAGTTCAAACCTTTGCTGTCCCGCAAATGCGCCAAACAGCCTTAAGCAAGCCGCACTTCTCCATTCCCAGCTCCTAGCTTCTGCAATGGGCGGATAACAGCGCTGGCCTGCTTTACAGGATTGTTGTAAGGGTTGGTGAGATGTTGTGAAGCGATCCTTCCCCCTACTCCCCAGCACACCTTGTCTTTAGTTGTAGGGCTGCCCCAGGGATAAGGAGGGGTTCAGAAATCCATCCCTGACCGTTGGCCGAGCTAGCCAGAACTAGACTCCAACAGCATCTGAAGGGCTCCAGGTTCCCCTGGGCAGCGTGAATTGATTCCACCCCAGTGCCAGATTTACGTATAAGCTAAATAAGCTATAGCTTAGGGCCCCACTCTCTTGGGCCCCCCCCCAAAAAACCCCTGGATGTACATTTCCAAAATATAAGATAAAAATACAAATAAAATAAAACCTACATACAGCAACAGTGTTTTGCGTTGTGTAGGCTCCTGTGATGTAAGTCATGGGCCCCGCCTGCTAGCCTGCTCCTTCAAATATCCCTGGTTTGCTCCTTTCTATATATAGGGTGCCTACATTTTGCATGGACTGGTTGCAGGGCAACATGCGCAAATGGCTTGAGATACCTATGAGGTCCATAAATTACCACATAGCATATACAGTGGACCCTCCAGATACGAACTTAATTCGTCCCGGGGGTCCATACTTACCTCAAAAAGTCCGTATCTAGAGACACCGCTTCTGTGCACATGTGCGGTGCAATAGAGCGCCTCTGAGCATGCGCAAAGTGTGCAGAGTGCTTTTGTGCATGCGCGCACAGCGAACCTGGAACTATGCACTTCTGGGTTAGCCGCATTCGCAACCCGAGGTACCACTGTATTCAACACAAAAAACAGCGGCACTTTGTTGTTGACAAAGGACAGCTGGACATATAAAGGGCCCCATTACCTTCAGTAGCTTTGGGCCTCATCAAACCTAAATCTAAATCACACCGATTCTTCTTTGTAAGATATGCCACAGAGCGTGTATCCAGCGTTAATACGTGAAGGAGAGAAAGGAAGAGCCTCTAAGATGGGATGCTCAAAAAATTGTCTCTTTCTTTCCCAGCCACCCAGCTAGAGATACTCTGCTCAGCTGGGCCAAGCATTCCTGACGGGAGGAAATAATTTCATAGGAGTCCCAGATGGGTTGCATACTGTACACTGATTCATCGACCCGTCCAGAAATGCAGACTCCACCCCTCTGCTCTTGGCTCCCAAAGAGTTGCAGGAGATGCCGCTCACTCGCTTGAACGGATGCCGAGTCCATCTGGCACGCAGGAGTTGCTCTTCTGAGGTTACATTGAGAATATGAGTTTCAAGGCTGGCCTAAGAAAGTCGCGACCTCTCCCAAAAAGAAAGACAACTTCCAAAACCAACAGGGCAGAATGGAGCTTGGTTTGCATGTTCATCATCATCATCATCATCATCATCATCATCATCATCATATTTATACCCTTCCCATCCAGCTGGGTTTCCGCAACCACTCTGGGTGACTCCCAACAGAGTATTGAAAACAGAATAAGCAGAATAAAACATAAAACTTTAAAAACTTCCCTTCAGATGTCTTCTAAAAGTCAGATAGTTGTTTATTCCTTGACATCCGATGTCACTATTCCTCCAAGTAATTGCAACCCTCATTTGGACGGCTGTTCAGGTAAAATAATAATAATAATAATAATAATAATAATAATAATAATAATAATAATATTTATACCTCACCCACTGGTTTCCCCAGCCACTTTGGGCGGCTTCCAGCAAAATATTAAAATACAATAATTCACCAAATACTAAAAGCTTCCCTAAACAGGGCTGCCTTCAGATGTCTTCTAAAAGTCAGATAGTTGTTTATTTCCTTGACATCTGGTGGGAGGGCATTCCACAGGGCAGGTGCCACTACCGAGAAGGCCCTCTGCCTGGTTCCCTGTAACTTGGCTTCTCGCAGGGAGGGAACCGCCAGAAGGCCCTTGGAGCTGGACCTCAGTGTCCGGGTAGAACGATGGGGGTGGAGAAACTCCTTCAGGTATACTGGACCGAGGCCGTTTAGGGCTTTCAATGTCAGCACGAACACTTTGAATTGTGCTCAGGAACGTACTGGGATTAGCACCGGACTAGTAGGGTTATCTGAAGACTTGTAATGAGAATTTTTTTACCTTTCTATATTTATTTAAATTTTGAGGTATTTTGTGATGAGTTTCATTAGAACTGGACAATATATAAAATGCTGTGATATAAAGGTTACGGTAATTTTGAAGGCCAAGAGGTGGGAGGGAAGGAAGTCAATAGGCTCTGAATAGCCAAAGTGGCGAAGTGGATAATAATGATGTGATTAAAGGTAAAGGTAAAGGGACCCCTGACCATTAGGTCCAGTCGCGGATGACTCTGGGGTTGCAGCGCTCATTTTGCTTTACTGGCCGAGGGAGCCAGCGTTTGTCCGCAGACTGTTTTTCCGGGTCATGTGGCCAGCATGACTAAGCTGCTTCTGGCGAACCAGAGCAGCGCACGGAAACGCCGTATACCTTCCCGCTGGAGTGGTACCTATTTATCTACTTACGCTTTGACGTGCTTTCGAACTGCTAGGTTAGCAGGAGCAGGGACCGAGCAACGGGATTCGAACCGCCGACCTTCTGATCGGCAAGTCCTAGGCTCTGTGGTTTAACCCACAGTGCCACTCACGTCCCAATGATGTGATTATATATGCTTAAATGGAAAATGAATAAAAATTATTTAAAGTGGGGGGGGATAATTTTCTCTTTTGGGGTTTCTGCCTTTCTTCCAAGTGTGCTGACCCTCTCTTTCTCCCGCCTCCGCAGCCTTGACCCATGACCGCCTCCGCCGCGATGTTCTACCGCTCGCCCTCGGCCATGTCGCCGCCGTCCAAAGGCAAGTTCAAGCGGCAGAGCCGGATCTTCTCCCAGGTCTTGCACCGGACTCTGAGCTACAAGGACCGCCTCTCTGTGGCCGCTGGCCCGGCGGAGGGCGGCGAGGACCCCTCCGAGCTCTCCACCCAGGCCTCGGCCCCCGGGGTGCTCAAGATCTTCGGGGGCGCCGTCTGCACGGGGGCCCACTACAAGAGCGTCCTGGCCACGGCCAGCTCCAGTGCCCGGGAACTGGCCAAGGAGGCCCTCGAGCGCTACGGGCTGAGCCAGGTCAGCGCGGGGCGCTACGTCCTCTGCGACGTCGTGGGGCGGTTTGGGGGCCCCGAGAGGCAGTGGCAGATGGAGGGGCTGAGGGTCCTGCAAGACCACGAGAAGCCGCTGCTGATCCAGGAGCTCTGGAAGCCGCGCGAAGGATGCTCCCGGAGGCTGGAGCTTCGGAAGCGGGCAGAAGTGGAGGAGCTGGCCTCCAGGGACAAAGACACCGTCACGGCAGGTGAGGAAGAAGCCCCTGGGCTATTGGGGCTATTATTAGTGGTAGTATTAGTGGTAGGCTTCTGGGGGTCCGGGATGGAAGAAGAAAAGAAGAAGAATTTGGATTTGATATCCCGCTTTATCACTACCCGAAGGAGTCTCAAAGCGGCTAACATTCTCCTTTTCCCTTCCTCCCCCACAACAAACACTCTGTGAGGTGAGTGAGGCTGAGAGACTTCAGAGAAGTGTGACGGGCCCAAGGTCACCCAGCAGCTGCATGTGGAGGAGCGGGGAAGCGAACCCGGTTCACCAGATTACAAATCTGCCGCTCTTAACCACTACACCACACTGGAAAATACGCCCAGGAAGGCCACCACCTTCCCAAGACACCACGGCGTCTCTCCAGTGGTCACTCTCTGGCTGTAAATCTTCCTTAGTCCAGAGAGACCGGTGATAAGTGACCCCTCCCTCCTGAGAGGAGCACGGTCATCTTCTGGCATCTCATAGCAGAAGAAAGAGTCAATCAGTAGCTCTAAAACTACTTTATTAACAGTCTATATACAAAGAATCCATCAGCATGTCTGTGCTCTTTCAGCACCAGTACAGAACAGCATCACATACAGAAGTGAAACTAAACTCTTCAGCAATATTCCAACAGTCCTGAGACTTCCTGTCTCATGCTCTCAGACACTCACATGATATAAACAACATAGTGCTACTTGCTGAGGTAGATAAAAATCCTAACAGGAGGTAGGTCCAGGGCGGCTGCCCTACCAAGCTCCATCTGGTATACTGGCTGAGACCATACCCTCCAACGTTTCTCCGATGAAAATAGGGGCATCCTATCCAATAATAATAATAATATTAATAATAATAATAATACAGTGGTACCTCTGGTTGCAAACGGGATCCGTTCCAGAGCCCCATTCGCAACATGAGCAGAACGCAACCTGCATCTGCACATCTGTGCGTGCACGGGTCGCGATTCACTGCTTCTGCGCATGCGCTTGACGTCATTTTGCATGTCTGCACATGCGTGAGTGGCAAAACCCGGAAGTAACCCTTTCTGGTACTTCCGGGTCGCCACAGGACGCAACCTGAAAACGCTCAACCTGAAGCAAACACAACACGAGGTGTGACTGTAATAATAATAATAATTTTATTACAGTGGTACCTTGGTTCTCAAACGCCTTGGTACTCAAACAACTCGGAAGCTGAACACTGCAAACCCGGAAGTAAGTGTTCCGGTTTATGAACTTTTTTCAGAATCTGAACATGCTCCGTTTTGAGTGTTACGCTTCCGATTTGAGTGCCACGCTTTTGTTTTGAGTGTTACGCTGAGGTCTGTCAGTTTTTGCTATTTATTTTAAGCGTTTTGTTTTTGTGTTTCTTTTTGTGACTCTGTGGAACCCAGTTCAGCCAATGATTGATTGATTGTGTGTGTGACTGCAGTACATTGATTGTTGCTTTCATTTTATGGATCAATGTTCTCGTTAGATAGTAAAATTCATGTTAAATTGCTGTTTTGGGGGTTGCTTTTAAAAGTCTGGAACAGATTAATCCGTTTTGCGTTACTTTCTATGGGAAAGCACATCTTGGTTTTGGATTGCTTTGGTTTTGGAACGGACTTCCGGAATGGATTAAGTTTGAGAACCAAGGTCCCGCTGTATTTATATCCTGCCACTTCCTTGGGGAGAGAACTATTATTAATGAAACTTCTATATCACCTTTCAGCTGAAGCCTTCAGCATGGTTTACAACACAAAAACACAACATTTCCAGGGAAGCCACAAGTCACATATTTGGATTCAGCACAGAGCAGCCGTTGTTCTGTGTCTCCAGCTTCCAGCATCAGCCAGAAACCCACATAGTCCACTCTCTTATACACAACCCACCTTGGTCTACTCTTCTCCAACTATGCAGTGACATTTCTATGGGAAAAAACCCACATGCATGGGAAGGTGGGCTGGGGAGCCAGTTTGGGTCGCAAACACCAGGGAGAACCACGGCCGCCGCTGGTCTCTCGCCTGCTTCACATGCATTCAGTCTGCTTTGTTTTCACAATAATTTGCAATTATTTCTGTCTGTCTGTCCAGAAATGCAAACATTGGAAGAAAATGCATTGTGCAATATGTATTTAAATATGTATTACTAAACCTGTTTTCGCAGAGAGATGTGTTTTCCAAATGCACTTTGAGGCCTGATTTGAGCAGAGGAGTATCCAAAGCATAATATTTGGCTGGTGGTTGCAATGTTTTCCGATCTGTGAATTAACCCCGGTTTATGCGAATCAGGCCAATTCACAAATCTAATCCCTTCACCCCTGGACTGGGCTCTCCTCCTTTGCACATTCCACTTTCCCAGGCATTTCCCTCCCACAACCAGCGATGGCAAAGAGACCCCAGCCACTTTCTGTACCTGCAGCGAAAAGGCCACCTGTTTCTTTTCCCCCGCTAAGATAATGAGTTTTCCTGTGGCCTGCTTGGCCCTTTTAGGTCACAAAGACCATCAACATATTTTCAGGAAACGAATCTGAGCAAACTCCCCGCCTGTTTTTATTGCTTTAGCAGGCAAGTGTAACTCTGCGGCCAAGTTCTCTGTTGGCAACCGGAGTTACGTTTCTGCGGCAGCAGTGGGAACGTGGCCTCTGATGGATCTGGTTTCAGCTTCGAATGTACGCCGCACAAAAATAAGTGCATTTGCTTTACCTTACATGAACAAGGCTGTTAGACGTCACCCCTCAAAGATAATTAATCTATGGAACCTGAGCTTCTCCACGGAGTTGGGTGGCAGCCTCTGTGCGTGTGCAGAATGCAGACATTTGTAATGCCAATGAGTATTTGGGAAACCTGAGTGGAGCAAAAACGAGTCAGTGCTTCTGGCTTGCACTCTTTTTTAAAGATTTGAGAAGTGGGGTTCTTTTGTTGTTGTTTAGTCGTGTCCGACTCTTCGTGACCCCCTGGACAAGAGCACGCCAGGCACTCCTGTCTTCCACTGCCTCCCGCAGTTTGGTCAAACTCATGCTGGTAGCTTTGAGAACACTGGGTCTTTCCCAGGGAGTCTTCTCTTCTCATGAGGTGGCCAAAGTATTGGAGCCTCAGCTTCAGGATCTGTCCTTCCAGTGAGCACTCAGGGCTGATTTCCTTCAGAATGGAGAGGTTTGATCTTCTTGCAGTCCATGGGACTCTCAAGATTCTCCTCCAGCACCATAATTCAAAAGCATCCATTCTTCTTGATGGTCCAGCTCTCACTTCCATACATCACGACTGGGAAAACCAGAGCTTTAACTATACGGACCTCCATGGACAAAGACAACAGGCATATAAAAGTGGGGTTATTACTCCTCTATTATTGTCCATGCTGGGTCGTTCAACCATTGCTACCATGTCCTTTCTTTTAGCAGATTAAGATGACCAGGTGACAGCAAAAACTGCAAGGTTTTTAGTGAGGGAAATTAGAATAACATCTGTTACTTGGTAATTGATGTAAACCCCCAAAATGTTTTTTTTCTATAGTTAACTTTCCCCCTCTATCTTCAGTACATTTTTATTTTATTTTATTGCTATGGCTAGTGGCTGATGCAAATGAAGATTCATATTCTGTTCAGTTCTAAGTAGCAGCATACAAAATTGTTCTGTGCATAGTTCAACTGTGGAACTCCCTGTTGCAGGAGACCAGGGATGGCCACCAACTTGTAGGGCTTTAAAAGAGGATTGGACAAGTTCATGGAGAAGGGAGAACTATCGATGGCTCCTAGCAAGGATGATCAATGCTTCCGAATATCAGTTGCTGGAAACCACAAGAGGAGAGAGGGTTCTCGCACTTGGGCCCCGCTTGCTGGTTTCCCGCTGGGGCATTTGGTCGGCCACAGTGAGAACAGGATGCTGATGGGCCGGTGGCCTGATCCAGTAGGCTTTTCTTATATTCTTACAACTAGCAGCAGCTTTTGAGGGCTAAAGGCAGGGGACCCTCCCAGTCCTACCTGGTGGCGATTGTACATTTCCGAGCACAATTCAAAGTGTTGGTGCTGACCTTCAAAGCCCCTAAACGGCCTCAGTCCAGTATCCCTGAAGGAGCGTCTCCACCCACATCGTTCTGCCCAGACCCTGAGATCCAGCGCTGAGGGCCTTCTGGCGGTTCCCTCACTGCAAGATGTGAGATTACTAAGGGCCTTCTTAGTAGTGGCACCCACCCTGTGGAATGCCCTCCCATCAGATGTCAAGGAAATAAACAACTATCTGACTTTTAGAAGACATCTGAAGGCAGCCCTGTTCAGGGAAGTTTTTAATGACTGGTGTTTTAATGTATTTTTAATCTTTTTCGGAAGCCGCCCAGAGTGGCTGGGGAAGCCCATCCAGGTGGGCAGGGTATAAATAATAAAATTATTATTATTATAATCAATGACAAATTACAGTGGACGCCCGGTTCCGCGCAGGTCCCAATTCGGCGCTTCTGCGCATGCACAAAGCACGATTTAGCATTCTACACATGCGCAAATGCCGAAACCTGGAAGTAACCCATTCCGGTACTTTTGGGTTCAGCGCGGTGCGCAACCTGAAATCGCGCAACCTGAAGCATCTGTAACCCGAGGTAGGACTGTATTATTATTGAACCTGGGGACCCCCCCCCCTTATTCCATGCTGTACCTCTGAGCTATGGCACGGTGGTAGAGGCAGAAGAGCCGTTTTTGCTTGGGCAACGACACTCCTCTGCTCTTCCTATCACCCTCTGGGATCAACGTTGCAGCTGCTGGGTATAAGGAGCAGTTTTGTCAACTGGGCTTCAGTGGGGAGGGAGGATAAGACCTTCTTGCACACGCGAAGGGGATTCCACTCTGGGAAGCTGATCCGTCAACTGAAGGGTGAGAGACTTAAGCTCATCTTTTCTCCTGGCTGTGGCAGCAGGTGGGTGGAGGACGGCAGAAACGGGCTGGGGGGAGAGCTGATCAGCCGATTAGGATCACAGGTGACTTAGCAGGCAGGACTCCGAAGGCGTTTTGCTGGAAGGTTGCAGATAGGGAGCGAGCCCTGATGGGGTGGACCTGGAAGGTGGACTTTCGCCTTCCAGAGACAGCCTAGGAATCATGCTTCAGCCTTTGGGAAGTGACAGATAACCCAAAGATTGCAACTTGCCGGAAGCAAATCCCATCCCCAGAATTCTTTGTTTATTTATTTCTAATTTAATGTGTTTATAGCCCACCTTTCTCTCCCAGGCAGCTTAAAAACAGCATTATGGAATACAGAGCAACAAAACAATCTAGTTCAAAACAATACAGTGGTACCTTGGTTCCCGCATGGCTTGTCTCCCAAATAAATCGGCTCCCGAACACCGCACACCCGGAAGGAAATGTTCTGGTTTGCGAGCATTTTTTGGGAAGCCAAACATCCGTTTCGGCTGTCGACATTGTTTCCGAGGCCAATCAGCCCATCAGAAGCCGCTCCTCAGTTTGCAAACGTTTTGGAGGTGGAAAGGACTTCTGGAACGGATTGGGTTCGGGAAGCAAAGTACCACTGTAATTAAAACACATCTGAAGACATTTAGAGCCAGCCATTAAAGCCTAGTTTCCTCTGAGAAGCAGCCCGGTAGGTCAGCCTCATTTGCACCTTGCTTTCCAGAGGAAGGTCTTGGCCTGCTTGTGGAAGGATGACAGAGAGGGAGCCGGCCTGACCTCTCTTGGAGGAAATCCCACAATATGGGGGCAGCCACAGAAAAGGCCCTGTCTCATTTCACTCCCGACCACGCCTCTGATGATGGTGGGACCAAGGGAAGGTGTCCAGCAGATGATCTTAGCAGCCTGGAAGGTGCAATCCTGCAACATCTGAAGGTCCACAGTTCACTTTGGCAGCCCAATTTAGGACAGGGCGGAGAGTGGAGGCCTGGGGGTTGCTCCTATGTTGTAGAAAACTTTGAGAATCAGGACCCTTTCCAAATCAGCCAGAGATTTCCCCGTCTCCATCTCTGACTCTGAACGCTGGGTGCATGTGTGTTTCGGGATTCAAGGACGTCTGCTTTCCAAGAGCCCTTTGCTGGTCTGTTTCCTTTCTGCCCCAGAGGGAGAAGCGTCCAGCAGATGTTCCCCATCTCCTATTGTTGACGCATCACACAAGCTGATAACCGGGGGCAAGACAGTTATCCAAGCAAGAAGCAGATGTCAGGCAGGCGGGCAGGATTGCGCCGCTTTTGTGACAAGTGCACAAAGGCAGCCACTGGCTCAGAAGGACATCCTGGCTGAAATTGGTTCAAGTTGCAGTCCTTGCATTTGTGCTGCCACCATGATCCTTGCTTGTTAACTCCCCCCCCCCCAGTTTTTTTTTAAAAAAATAATTTTTATTAAGTCCTCCATTTTTACAATATTACACCATAACCAATAACATAATTCACAATTCCAAAATTCCCCCATTCCCCCCGGACTTCCCTCCACCTCCTTCTCTGGTTTATTTCAAAATCATATCATTTCCTGCGTATTTCCTTTTTTATATTTTAACTTATAAATTATATAATTTTTGCTAATTTTTCCCAGTTTGGACTGGGCGCCACGGAATGTTTTATCACCTTTGAGGCAAAGAAAATTCTGCACAGACGTAACCCCGATCTGCAGTCAGAATGGCAGAATCTCAGAACAGAAAGCCAGCAAACGTAGCAAAACACACTCTCTCCTTTTGTTAAGTTGTGGGTGAACATATCAGACGACAGTGATTCTTCAGACAGCTCTTGTTTATTCACAGGCCAGGACAGAACTGAACTGAAGGGTTCAGTCAGCCTGCTTATATAGAGCTCCAGCACAATGTAACTGTAACAATTTTCTAAAACTATCCAATCACTGAACGTCACTTTCGATCCCTTATTTGCATAACTATCTACAGTATGCCCCTGCTGGCCCAGGGTGAGAACTTCAGTACATAACACCTTTTCCTGATGTTTGCAACGTTTTTATGTTTTCGGGATGATCTGCACCAAGGGATTTTGCTGAGTTTTGCGTGGAGTATTATAGTTAGGGTTGCCATACATCCGGATTTTCCTGGGCATATGCCGAATACAGCAGTCGGCAGCAGTCTCTGGATGGAAATCGGGAAAAATGCTTGGATTTTCACTCTTTAAAATATGGCAACCCTATCTTGCTATGAAATTAGGCACACCCTGTTTCTTGCATGAAAACGGTCTCCAGGGAGGCTCACCAGCTTAAAATCCCCAAACTGCCACTGCTGCTGCCACTGCTTTCATTATAACTCTTAGGAATACACAAAGCTGCCTAGAACTGGGTGAGACCATGGACCTGTTTAGTTCAATATTGTCTGCGCTGACTGGCAGCATGTCTCCAGGATTTTAGTCTGGGATCTCTCCCAAACTTACCATCAAGCATGGAACCTGGGGCCTTCTGCTTTCAAAGCAGCTATTCCACCGCTGACCTATGGCCCTTTCCCCGTTCCAAATTCCTGCAAGGAAATTCGGATCAGGAGAATTTCCCCCTGCTGCACATTTGTGAGTCTTGGAATAGAGCAAAGTTCTCAGCCTGGTTCAGATGAGAAGGAGGCGGTTTCTGAAGAAGGGGCAGGGAGCAAAAAGGCAAAGCATGCATAAACTAATATCTCATTTGGAAGGTTTGGAAAAGACACCCCGGCCAACTACAGTCTTTGTTTGCGGCTTACGGGTGGCGGTAGAGCAATGGCTGGAGGGCACCAGGTTGGGGAAGCTGACTGCAGGGACAGCAGCAAACTGAACATCCCTCCGATGACCAGGCAAGTGTCATCTCTCCAGGATCTCAGAAAGAGGCTTTCTCAGACAGAGAAGGAGATTGACAAGCTGGAAAGTGTGCCTAGGAATCTACTATGAAACGAATAAAGCTTAAGCCTGAGGGCCCCAATCCCAGAGGGAATTACTTAAATTTTGGGGATCTAGTAGACCCAATTTGAGTCTTGGGTGCATCAACAGAAGCATAGTGTTCAGGTCAAGGGAAGGAATAGTCCCACTCTATTCTGCCCTGGTCAGACCACACCTGGAATACTGTGTCCAATTCTGGGCGCCACAATTTAAGAAGGATGTTGAAAAGCTGGAACGTGTGCAGAGGAGGGGCGACCAAGATGATCAAGGGTCTGGAAACCGAGCCGTATGAGGAACGGTTGAAGGAGCTGGGGATGTTTAGCCTGGAGAAGAGGAGACTGAGAGGAGATGTGATTGCCATCTTCAAATATCTCAAGGGCTTCTACATAGAAGATGGAGCCAGCTTGTTTTCTCCTGCTCTGGAGGGTAGGACCCGAACCCATGGCTTCAAGTTACAAGAAAAGAGATTCTGACTCAACATCAGAAAGATCTTTCCGACAATAAGCCATTGACCAGTGGAACGGACTCCCGTGGGAGGTACAGACTCTCCTTCCTTGGAGGTTTTTAAGCAGAGCTTGGATGGCAATCTGTCAAGGATGATCTAGTTGAGATTCCTGCGTTGCAAGGGGTTGGACTACATGATCCTTGAGGTCCATTCCAACTCTACAATTCTATATCCTATGGGCACCAGCGACCTAAAGGTAAAGGTAAAACTACCCCTGACCATTAGGTCCAGTGGTGGACGACTCTGGGGTTGCACGCTCATCTTGCTTTACAGGCTGAGGGAGCCGACGTTTGTCCGCAGACAGCTTCCGGGTCGTGTGGCCAGCATGACTAAAACGCTTCTGGCAAACCAGAGCAGTGCTCGGAAATGCTGTTTAGTTTTCCGTCGGAGCGGTACCTATTTATCTACTGGCACTTTGACGTGCTTTTGAACTGCTAGGTGGGCAGGAGCTGGGACCGAGCAATGGGAGCTCACCCCGTCGCGGGGATTCGAACCGCCAGCCTTCTGATCGGCAAGCCCTAGGCTCAGTGGATTAGCCCAGAGCGTCACTCATGTCCGAACCAGTGACCTACATGCCCTGAAATACGAACCTGGGCCTTCTGTCTCAACTAAAGTGGTTTTCTTGCCTTGGGAAGAAAGACTGAAAGAGGATTGCAGCCGCCAAGTTATTTTTATCCCATTCTGGTTATTTTGTAAGGCCCCTCCCTTGCCCCCCGCCCCCATTCCAATTGCCTGTTTTTTCAGGCAAGGAACGTGAAATGTCAAGCACTCTGCTGAAATGTGTGAATGGCGCTTGTGGGCGGGAACAGTGTGCCTGTGGCGCTTGTTCTGTTCTGACACAGACCCCTGGAGGAAGTAGGAGAACTTTTGCCAGGCCTGGTGAATGGCAGCGTGGCGTCGCTTGGGGGAGGGCAGGACCCTACAACAAGGACAAAAAGCTGCACAGCTGGCCTTTGCCAGGAGAAGACCGGAGCCCAAAGGGCCTCTCGTCCCCTGCAGGAGATTCTGCGCTGGGAACAAAAAGCACCCGGGAAGGCTGCAGCAGCAGCATGCTGGCACCAGCAGGATTTGTGGAATGAAAGAAAGGGCACTCACAAAGAACGACACCCCCAGCCACATTGAGAAATATTTTTTTTATTTTTTGAAATAATTTTTACTTGATTTTACAAGTCTTGAATTGTAGCAACATCAAATATAGTCATACCTCATGTTACGTCCGCTTCATGTTACATTCTTTCAGGTTATGTTCCGCGGCAACTCGGAAGTACCAGAAAGGGTTACTTCCGGGTTTCGCCGCTTGCCCATGCGCAGATGTGCAAAATGACGTCACGTGCATGCACAGAAGCGGCGAATCATGACCTGCGCATGCGCAGACGCGCCGCTGCAGGTTGCGCTCTTTTCATGTTGTGATCGGGCCTCCGGAATGGATCCTGTTCGCAACCAGAGGTACCACTGTGCACATCCATATTTAGAGATATCTCTGAATCTCCAGACTTCCCAACCTCCCTTCCATGGGTCAACCTTTTCAACTGCATATTATTTCATAATCCATTTTTTTTACATCTCTCCATATTGTCCATGATATTTGCTACGTTACAAGTGTAATTAAAATCCTGATCATGTTTTCATCTGCTTACAGTGGTCTCCTAGGTGAATTATAAATTTTCTCCATTCTTTCTTGAAGTTTTGGTCTTCTCGGTTCCTGAGCTTTCTGGTCAGTTTTGCCATTTGAGCTAGTGGCATCCGTGTGGCTGTTGTCGCATACATAAAAAGTCTTTTCAGCCACATTGAAAAGGAGCATGGCAAAACCCCTGCACCTCACCTGTGAGAATTTCCCCAAAATTTGTCTTTTTCCATTTTCGAGCGCAGTTTCTCTTCTGATTAATTGATGGAGAAAGGGGGAAAGAAGCGTCCAAGTAAAGTTTGGCAAACAGCCATCTCATGGAGCCACTAAGATCAGGCCTTGGGAAGGAGGAGTTTGTTGTGTTCAGTCCCTCTCAGTTTCTCATTTTTCCAACTTTAATTTCAGTTTGTGATCCCCCCACCCCAACATCCCCGCCACCACCCAAAAACTCAGGAAAATCCATCAGCATTTTTGTGCAAATTTATCCCAATAGACACATTTTTGTATGTATTTTTTTCCAAGTAGTCATATTTTCTGCAAACAATTTCCTCTGATGCAATGCATTCCTGCATGTTATTTCCACTAACATTTATATGCATGCTTTATCCAAGTATATGCATTTTTGCACACACTGCCTGGCAGAATTGCAAAATTCAGAGAAGCATGAATTTTGCAGGATGGCTGCGTTTCGGTTACTGTATTTATTTATTTATTTATTCATTCATTTATTGCATTTATATCCCACCATTTTTTCCAAGGAACTCCAGGGGGCATGATGCATAGTTCTCCTCATATCATTCCCCACAACAACCCTGTGAGGTAGACCAGGCTAGCCCTCAAATTCATCCAGTGAGTTTCATGGCCGAGTGGGGGATTTGAACCCAAGTCTCTCCCAGGTCCTCATTCGACACTCTAACCATGACACCAATGCTGGCTCAATTGTTTCAGAAAGTGCAAATTCAGTAATGTCACCTTTAAATGCAAATATCTAACACCAGGTCCCTGGGCCTGGCTTCAAATCCTGCCCCATTCAGAGTTATAAGCATAAATATCCTCTGCATCGCAGGCAGGGCCGTCTTAAGCATATCCGGTGCCATGGTGCAAAGATCCCTCCGGCGCCCCACTCCCCGTTTCCCAGAGTTGTCAACCTTTTCCCAAGCCTCTGTGGGGATCGCTTTCCTCCCTCAGAGGCTTGGGAAGGAAGCTGCATATCCGCCAGCCATGCGCTGGGCCCAGGGGTAACCCGAGCAACGCGGTCCAGGTCCAGTCCCAAATCCAAGGGTTCCACTAGGAGTCAGTCCGACAGGGCCAAGGCAGGAGACGAGGCAGGAAACCAGGCAAGGTCAGGCACAGGGTCTCAGGCAGGTTCTAGCAAACAGCAATGTTGCTCCCGCAACCTGGGGAGGGATCCGACAGCTTTTTATCTTTGTCGGGGTAACGGCCGGTCCTGATCCCCCGGCGACTCACCTCCCTGTCTTGCCCAAAGGCGAGCACTCCTCCTGCGAGTACTCAGGTCTCTCCTTCTCTCAGACCTCAGTCTCTGCAGCTCGGGAGACTAGACCCAGAGGCCGCCTCAGCCTCCCCTGACCCAACCGGTAGTGGAGCAGCTTAAGTGATGGCCCAGCTGAAGGCAACGAGGGAATCCCTGCATCTGGAGCCAGGGCAGGCTCAGGCCCCTGACTCGGCCCAGCTGGTGCTTGTTGTAGGGGAACCTGTGCAGACTGGGACTCTTCAGGATCAGACCCCAGACTTGGTTCAGATGCTGCCTGAGGCAAAGGATCCAGTGCGGACTGAGACTCCTCTGGTTCCGAGTCCGAGCCCGAGTCCCAGGCCATCACAAGTCATATAGTTGGTGGGGCTTCCATCCTAAGCCTCTGCAGGGATTGCTCTCCTCCCGAGGAGGCTTGGGAGGCAAGCTGCATGCCCACCAGCCATATGGTTGACAGGGCACAGCTGGTGGTCGTGCAGGGAAAGGGGAAGCCGCGCAGCTCCCCCACTCCCTGGGGCGTCCCTGAGAGGCTGGCACCCTGGCACAAAGCCCCATTAAGCTCTATGGGAAAGACGGTTTTGATCGCAGAGGGTTGGACTAGATGTCCCTTGGGAGTCCCTTTCAACTTTACAGTTCTATAATTCTATGATATCCCTGTTTGTAAAATGCGGGCAGCTATACCACACCGGAGATCGACAGGAGGGTGGAAGGGGAGCTGCTAGCGAGGGACTTCGACCCCAAAAAAAGAGGTATAGAGGGACTTTGTTATGCTCAGGAAAAGTCCCTGTTTATCTTTCCAGTGTGGCATGGAGAGTTTGAACGGTGTTTGAAACGGGAGCTCTCTCCAGCGTCAGAAAACGCTGCGATTTCCCACCCCACCGAAGCAAAACACACACAAAAAGCCCTGTTTTTTGCTATGCAAAATAAATACAGAAGCTTCCTTTCCTACCGATAAGGAAACTGAAGGCTGCTTTCTCTAGTGAGAGAGCGTGAGAGTGAACTTTGAAACAAGCGTATAGTTCCAGCAGAGCATTTCCCTTTCAGCCGCCTGTCATTGCGTCTGATTTCACTGGAGAGGCAGGGCTGGCTTTCAAGATTTGGGAGGGAGGGGGACACGGGATGGGCTACAGATCATTGCCAGACCCTTTCGCCACAAAGAGGCAGTGAGTGCACAAGTTTAGGGTCCACAGATTGTCTGATTCATTCATTTATGCAATTGATATACAGTGGTACCTCGGGTTACATACGCTTCAGGTTACAGACTCCGCTAACCCAGAAATAGTGCTTCAGGTTAAGAACTTTGCTTCAGGATGAGAACAGAAATCGTGCTCCAGCGGCACGGCAGCATCGGGAGGCCCCATTAGCTAAAGTGGTGCTTCAGGTTAAGAACAGTTTCAGGTTAAGAACGGACTTCCAGAATGAATTAAGTACTTAACCCGAGGTTCTCACACTTAATCCGTTCCGGAAGTCCGTTCCAAAACCAAAGCGTTCCAAAACCAAGGCACGCTTTCCCATAGAAAGTAATGCAAAACGGATTACAGTGGAACCTCGGGTTACAGGCGCTTCAGGTTACAGACTCCACTAACCCAGAAATAGTACCTCGGGTTAAGAACTTTGCTTCAGGATGAGAACAGAAATCGTGCTCCGGCGGCACAGTGGCAGGCCCCATTAGCTAAAGTAGTACCTCAGGTTGAGAACAGTTTCAGGTTTAGAATGGACCTCCGTAACGAATTAAGTTCTTAACCCGAGGTACCACTGTAATCTGTTCCAGACTTTTAAAAACAACCCCTAAAACAGCAATTGAACATGAATTTTACTATCTAACGAGACTATTGTTCCATAAAATGAAAGCAACAATCAATGTACTGTGCTATAAAATAAATAAGACAGTATGGTAGATGATGAAAATTAAAAAAAAAAATTTCCTTACTTGCTCTGATGATAGTCATTGTTTGGAGGGGGGCTTTTATCCATTTCCGCAGTCACACAATCAATCAATCAGCTGAACTGGGTTCCGCACAGTCACAAAAACAAATGAACCGAAAAAGCCTCAAAAACAAAATCGCAAAATAAATAGCAAAACCAAAAGCGCCAAATACAGTGGTATCTTTGTTCTCAAACTTGATCCGTTCCGGAAGTCCGTTTACTTCCGAAATGTTCAAAAGTTGAGGCGTGGCTTCTTATTGGTGCAGGCGGCCCGGAAACAGTAGCCGACAGCCGCATTGGACATCCAGCTTCTGAAAAAGATTGAAAACCAGATCACTTACCAGTACTTTGTTTTCGGGTTTGGGAACCAAGGTACCACTGTACTTCCCTTCGTCAAAAGACCACAGTGCTGTTTGCAACACAGAACGCAAATACCAATACTGATGTCTAATATCAACACGCAAATGTCAATACATAGATAGCTGTGGAGGATAAAAACCAAAACAGTTGTACATATACAATTACTATAAGGAAAAAATACAGATTCTTACAACCACAGAGAAAATCAGAAACAGGAAAAATACGGAAAACAGTGCACAGGTACAGAATCTTCCTTCTGCCCAAAGGTAGCTTTTATTTATGTCTTTATTTCAAAACATTTGTACACTGATTGGTTGTCAAAAGAGAAACCTAAGAGTGGTTTACAAAAAAAAGAGTGGTTTATAGAAAAAAAATTGGGGGGGGGGGAATCAGTGCATTAAAACATGCAATAAGTTAAAATATTAGAACAGGTAAACATTCACATCAGCTTTCTAAGCTTTCTGGGGTAGGCTTGTCTAAACCAAAATTGTCTTTAGCAGTTTTTATATTGACCTGCGCAAAAGGGTTTATATCTGTGTAATAAATGTATTAATAAATGAATAATCTATTGTGACCTGTATGTCACTCATAATGGGGTCGGCCTTTTTCGTTTTATGGTGTTTCCTTTGCAATCTGCCTGTGCAATGTCTCTGGTGAAAACCGGGAAGAGAGCTGGGCTTGCAAAGGGAGGGAGGGCTGCAAAAAGCGAAGCCAGGGTGCTCTGCTGCGTCCAATTCCTGCACCGTCGCCTCCAAAGCCTGCAATTTCGTGGCACATTCCTCCTCCTCCTCCTAGGCCTCATTCCTGCCGCTTGCCAGGAATAACTTGGCACCAGGGCTTCCCATTCATGGAGGAGCTGACTTGCTCTGCTCAGCACTTTCTTCTGCAATAGCCGTTCCGCATTGGTAGGAAAAAAACAAACTTTCGGCATCTGCACTTTGGAACTCCCTGCCGATGGACACCAGGCAAGAAACTTTGCTGCACTGTTTGCAGCGCCTGCTAAAAACATCTCTGTCTGGCCAGATGTGCAAAAGGCTGGTGTGTGTTTTCACCTGCTTCTTAGCCTATCGCTCTTTTTAATTACAGCGGTACCTCGGTTCTCAAATGCCTTGGTTCTCAAACAACTTGGAACCCGAACACTGCAAACCTGGAAGTAAGTGTTCCGGTTTGCGAACTTTTTTTGGAAGCCAAACGTGCTCTGTTTTGAGTGTTACGCTTCCATTTTGAGTGTTACACTGAGGTCTGTCTGTTTTTGCTATTGGGTTTGCGTTTTTGTTTTTCCGGCTTTTTTGTTTTGTTTTTGTGATTGTACGCAGGGGTGTACGAAGGGTGGCGGGTGGGCGGTCCGCCCCAGGTGCCACCCACGGGTGGTGACAAGATGGCCTGCTGCCTCCCCCCAGCTGTAGAGCGGCCGAGGCCGTGTTGTCAGTCCTTATGGGCTGCCGCGCATGCGCAGTCCGTACAGACATCGCGCATGCGCAGCTGGGCGGTTCACTCCGCTCCTCGGCTTCCCACCCCGGGTACTGGAGTGGGTTCCTCCACCACTGATTGTGTGGAACCCAGTTCAGCTACTGATTGATTGATTGTGTGATTGCAGTACATTATTGCTTTCATTTTATGGGTCAGTGGTCTCGTAAGATAGTAAAATTCATGTTAAATTGCTGTTTCAGAGGTTGTTTTTAAAAGTCTGGAATGGATTACAGTGGTACCTCGGGTTAAGTACTTAATTCGTTCCAGATGTCCGTTCTCAACCTGAAACTGTTCTTAACCTGAAGCACCACTTTAGCTAATGGGGCCTCCTGCTGCCGCTGCACCGCCAGAGCATGATTTCTGTTCTCATCCTGAAGCAAAGTTCTTAACCCAAGGTACTATTTCTGGGTTAGCGGAGTCTGTAACCTGAAGCGTATGTAACCTGAAGCGTATGTAACCCAAGGTACCACTGTAATCCATTTTGAATTACTTTCTATGGGAAAGCACGCCTTGGTTTTCGAACGCTTTGGTTTTGGAACGGACCTCCAGAATGGATTAAGTTTGAGAACCAAGGTACCATTGTATTTAATTCTTTCTCGGCGCCACACATACATGTGGTCACTTGTGGCTAGAATGCACGCAAGTCGGGGAGACGCCTGTATTTAGTTTGTTTTTATTTCACAAATTTGTACACTGCTTGGCTGTAGAAAGACCACATAGGCCAAAAGGATGAAACAAGGAAATCTAGAAAGAAAACCACAGCCATGCAGTCAAAGCATACAAAAAGTTCAAATACCCAAAGAGATTGAAACTCACACCAGCTTTCTAAGCTTGCCTAAGCAAGAATGCTTTTAGCAGGCAACAAAAAGAGAACAGCGTAAGCGCCTGCTGGGTATATCAAGAGGCAGGGAGTTCCAAAGTGCCACACTGAACGACTGAGTTCTTACAAATGCAGAACGGGGATCTGGTGGCACCTGTAGCAACGCCAGTTTGGCTGATTGAAGCGGCAAAGTGGGATAAGTGCTCCTGTTGCGACCCACCAGTTGAAGACCAGTGGATGGAGGCCTGCCCTCTGATGGCCGCCCTGTCTGACAAACCTCTGAGATTTGAGAGACGAAGCTGTGGTCCTCCAGAGGGTCTTGGGCACCTTCAATCCCAGCCCCCTTGGCCATTGGCAACGCAGTCTTGGGGTGGTGGTGAGTCAGAGCCCCTTTAAATATAAATTTAATAAATAATAATAATAACGCTGCAAGGACTCAGTTTCCTCCTCTTTCTTGAAAAGAGTCTGGCTTTGGCCCGTTCATCTTATCTCTCTTTTTTTGCACGGAAACCTGGCAGAGCCCTGCAGCTGGCATCTCTCAGGTGCCATCGCAGGACTCTGAAATGAGCCTTGGTGCGAGTTCACGCGCGTGCAATTCCTTGGCAAAGGGGCGTCCAAATTTCGCCTTGTCTTCTGGCCGCGTGCCACGAACGCAACTCATGTGTGGACTCGCGACTGCCTTCCTTTGGCTGAGCGGCTGGGGCAGGTTTGTGGCCGCGCAGGACTCCGGTTTTGCCTAAAACGGCTGCAGGCCGCAGCGCCGGAACACTGTGCTCTCTCTGTCCACCTCTTCTAATCCCCAAGGCATGTAAACAGTATGGGCAGCCCTCCCCCCTCTCTCCCTTTCCCTGGTCACCTCTTTAATTTTCCCAGCAAAGGAAGGATGGATTTTAAAACAACAACAACAACAAAAATGAATTTTGGAACCCAGGGAGAGTTCCTCACCAAATAAGGCACTAGCTTGGATGTTGGGATCAACATGGGACACACAGCTGGCTGGCTCAGACTTAGAGGGTTTTGCCTGCTCTGTAAAAGAGTCTTGCTCTCTCATGAACGAGGTAGGGGGTGCCTTTCTCGGCCCCCTCCCCAACTTTGGCAGAAGGGGAAATCTCTGTTTCCAGAAGAGTCTGTCTTCTGCATGTGTCCAGGCGGTCATTTTTAGCAGAGAAGAACCCAAAGAAAATGCTTCAGGGGCTTTTCGCTTTCGGATTATTATTTTTTAAAGCACAGGAGTGGGAAATGGTGGCATTCACCAAGTAGAGGCTCCCGCTGGATTTACATCATAGACAAGATAGCAGTGGATGCAAGGTATGAAAGTCGCCCGGCTCTGCCATTGGGCAGGGGGGGCAAGCAGATTTGTGGGCACCATGCTCATCATTTCGCCGCTCGTTACATTGCTGCGTTTGGGGTTTGCGGCCTCCGGCACACAACTGCCATGGGTCCTCTTTCTCTGCCTGCTGAGAAGCTCCCTAACTTTGCTCCAACTTTACACCCTGCAGCACAGAAGAGCGAGGATGGATTGCAGAGGACCGTTCCACTTTGGGGAGGGGGAGGAGACTCTACCACTTGGGTCCGGAGCAGGGACGCCGTTTGGGCTTTTGCATTTGGGTGCTCGCAAACCGCCCAGAGTCCCACATTTGTCTTCCTGGCAGCCTTCCTCTTCTTTTTTTTCCTGAAGAGACGGTGTAGAGAAGTTAATTATTTCTTGCCTCTGCAGCAAAGGGAGCAGGAGGCTCACTGCAGTCTGCAGGTCCTGCCAGCCTTGACTGCAGGGAGGCTGGTGTCCATAGCCTATGCCAGAGAGGGTCTGGGACACCGCACACCCCCTGATCCATGGTAAGCCATTGACTCCCCCCCCCATCCATCCCTCTCAGCTGGCGGGGGCAGGGGGTGTATCGCCTTCTGCGTTCCAGCTTTCGCTTTTAAATTTCTTGTTTGGTTTTTTGGGAAAATGCCCTCTCTGCTCACTACAACGCCAGCCAGCTGTGGAGGGATGCTGTCAAGCCCCCAGATGGGTTTCCTTGATGGGGTTGTGGGGGGGGGGGAGGTTGGGTTTCTAAGAAAAAGGAGAGTGAGAGAATTTGGGAGGGGGAAAGGGAAGCTGGAGAGAAAGCTGTCAGGGAAAGATTGGACTATTGCCGTTGTTTTTACAGCTGAGCCAAGCAGACAGTTAGCGGGGATGGAAATGGTTTTGTCTCTCTCTTTCCCCCCTTTTCGCATCCTCAGTGTGTTGTCTTGGAATGAATTTTGCAATCTGGATTATATCGCTGCATGTTTCGGAGACGAGAGCCAAATGGGGGCCAGGAGGGTGGGGCATGATGGTGTTTTTTTTTAATGCCTTTTGATGAAAATCTGTTATGCTTCCTGCCCTCCCCCCTGGTCTGTTCCTGAACTTTTCTTGCTAGTTTAAAAGCAGTCATACCTTGAGATCCTGCACACCTATGGTGGGGACTTCCATCAATGACTTTGGTCTTGGATACACAAGCCCTGTGCTCTAATCCTGAGACTACCCCGATAGAAACCAGCGTGGCTTTGCTTCCCGGTAAATGTGCTTTGGGAGGGCAGCCTAAAAACTGCGGGGGACATAGCGGGAGAGCTGAGTGCAGGAGCTGTGAGCCAAGAAGTCCCTGGCCGAAGTCTCCTTCCAGCCAGACGTCCGCCAAGTAGCATTTGCCTATCCACAAGCATTAAGTAATAACCCCATATATCCAGGAGACATCTGCAACTGAAGACGGTACCTTCAAACAACTCTCTGATTTTTAGAAGACATCTGAAGGCAGCCCTGTTTAGGGAAGTTTTTAATGTCTGATGTTTTATTGCGTTTTTTAATATTTTGTTGGCAGCTGCCCAGAGTGGCTGGGGAAACCCAGAAAGAAGGGTGGGGTATAAATAAATTATTATTATTATTATTATTATTATTATTATTATTTAGATCTATATCAATCTCACATGCATCGTCTCAGTGCAGGCCGGAAGTGGCAGAGAGAGAAGGAGGGTCGGATATTGGCCATCAGAAGAGCTGGTTGTGTCGACCTTGTAAATAAGCCCATAGAAATTACTAGCCTGCAGATTTTTTTACTACCCAGCTGGCAGAGGAGCGACAGAGAGTGCCCTTCCCCCTACGGCATCTGTCCTGCATTTCTTGGTTGGTTGCAGAAGAGCTGGGCGTGGGCTTTCTTCCCCTGGCATCTGCTTGCTTCCTATGACTGCCAGTGATGTGTGGTCAGTGGACTAAGGGGACGTGGCTAGTTCCCTAAATGTTCCTGGTAAATTAGAGTACAGTCATACCTCGGGTTGAAGTAGCTTCGGGTTGAGCATTTTTGGGTTGCGCTCTGTGGCGACCCGGAAGTAACAGAACATGTTACTTCCGGGTTTCGCCACTCGCGCATGCACAGACGCTCAAAATGACATCACGCGCATGCGTGGTAGCGGCGAATCACGACCCGCGCAGGCGTGCAGATGCGGGTTGCGTTCGCTTCAGGATGCAAACGGGGCTCCGGAACGGATCCCGTTCGCATCCAGAGGTACCACTGTATTAAAGTGTTGTAAACAAAATCTGCCCTTTTCCCCTTATGGGGTACCCAGAAGCCCATATAGAGTCCTTAAGTGGGTTCCCTATCGGTAGGAGAAAATAACAGGGGCCAAGCAGAGAACATTGAGAAGCAAAGCCTGATCTTTATTGAACTTCTGCAACAGGGTCCTCACTCACCCCATGCAGGAGGGACCCCGAACAATGGTGTGCACAGCCTTATATAAACTTTTTAAATTGCCCACCCTGCAGCCCAAGACTCCCCCCCCATACATCATACATACCGTATTTTTCGCTCTATAAGACGCACCAGACCACAAGACGCACCTAGTTTTTGGAGGAGGAAAACAAGAAAAAAAATATTCTGAATCTCAGAAACCAGAAGAGCAAGAGGGATCGCTGCACAGTGAAAGCAGCAATCCCATTTGCTGTTCTGGCTTCTGTGATAGCTGCACAGCCTGCATTCGCTCCATACATTTCCCCTTACTTTTTAGGAGGGGAAAAGTGAGTCTTATAGAGCAAAAATTACGGTACATCACAGAAGAGGCATCTACAACAGAATCCTGTCTGGCAAGAAACGTGTTGATGGGTTTACCTGGCTGTTAATGGGTTTACCAGGAGAGCCTGGCCATCCTTTTGTGATGATAAATACTTAATTCCTGAGTCAGGGTCACAGGCTCCACCATATTCATGTGCACTTAAGGCAGGTTTTGTGAGCAAAGAGACAATGGGGAGGTTTTTTCCATTTCTTCTCTCCTTGCAGAGAAACATTTGAGGTCAATTTGGGAGAGTTAAAATGGTTCCAGGACTATTTTCCTGTACTGTTTCAGACATGTGGTTTATATATTTATTTATTTATTTGTGTGTTTGCCTTGTAAATTTATGAACATTTAATTTGTATATTTGAGACCTTAAATTCTTATGACAAAAGTACAGTGGTACCTCGGGTTACAGACGCTTCAGGTTACAGATTCCGCTAACCCAAAAATAGTACCTCAGGTTAAGAACTTTGCTTCAGGATGAGAACAGAAATCGTGCGGCGGCAGTGGGAGGTCCAATTAGTTAAAGTGGTACCTCAGGTTAAGAATGGACCTCCAGAACGAATTAAGTTCTTAACCCAAGGTAAAGGTAAAGGTAAATGTAAAGGGACCTCTGGCTGGTCCAGTCATGGCTGACTTTGGGGTTGCGGCGCTCATCTCACTTTATCGGCCGAGGGAGCCGGTGTACAGCTTCCAGGTCATGTGGCCAGCATGATTAAGCCGCTTCTGGTGAACCAGAGCAGCGCACGGAAACGCCGTTTACCTTCCTGCCAGAGCTGTACCTATTTATCTCCTTGCACTTTGATGTGCTTTCGAACTGCTAGGTTGGCAGGAGCAGGGACCGAGCAATGGGAGCTCACCCCGTCGGGGGGATTCGAACCGCCGACCTTCCGATCGGCAAGTCCTAGGCTCTGTGGTTTAACCCACAGCGCCACCTGCGTTCACTGTATTAAAGCCAGGCGCCTTCTTCCCCAAACCCAGGAAGCTTCTGCTCAGCTTAGGGAGGGAGGTGTGATGCTCATGAGCACGAAGTTGGGACATCGCGATGTCGCGCCGCCCCCCATCGCCCTCGTGAGCTGGCACCTCTTTCCCTAATTGTTCCCCTGTGAAAAATGTCATTGCCCGCCATTGACGACTGCTGTGCTGAGAGCTACCCTTCAGCGGCTCAAAAGATTTCTTCCACCCCAGAAGAGGCTTCTGTTTGCACTGTTATTTTTATAATGATGGGAGGGGTTTCTTCCCCCCTCCAGCCTGCGGCGTGTAACCCCCCCCCTTTGTTCACACACAATGTCTCCTCAAAGCACCACATAACGCACAACGCCACACAACTCCCAACGTTGTTCTGCTCAGGGAAAAGATGGCTACCGAAGGGGGGGCTTGGGAAACTGACAAAAGACAGCCGTAATCCCCGAAACCTGGGATCAGCCTCTTGCATAAGAGATCACAGCTGGCATCCTGGCAAATGCGTGCGAAAACAGGTCGGCATCCTGTGGACAGTAGCAAACCATCCAGGAATGGATGAGGTTCTTGGTCAGGACAAAGAGGTGTGATCAACCAGGAACTTGTCAATATTTCTTTTGTCTTACTTGATGGGTGTGAGGTGGAGGTTGAGGGAATTGTTGTCCTTTAGTCGTGTCCGCCTCTTTGTGACCCCTTGGACCAGAGCACGCCAGGCACTCCTGTCTTCCACTGCCTCCTGCGGTTTGGTCAAACTCATGCTGGTAGCTTCGAGAACACTGTCCCACATCTCGTCCTCTGTCGTCCCCTTCTCCTTGGGCCCTCCATCTTTCCCAACATCAGGGTCTTTTCCAGGGAGTCTTCTCAATTATTGGCACTATTTAGTGGGAAGAAACTCCCATGAAAAGCCTCGTTATTGCACCTTTTACATGGCTGTTCATTTGTATATATTTTAAAATTTTATATATGGATGTTTTATGATGGCCTATACTTGTAATGCTTAATAAAGGTTTGGCAAAGTAAGTAAGTACGGTTTTAATAGATTTTTCTTTTTTTCCCTTTTTATACATTTTTATTAGTTTTTTAACATATCATTTCCAACATTCATTTAACATAACTTCTTATCTTATACAATATTTTAGACTTCCGTCAACAACCTCTGAAGATTTTTCGTTCTTTATCACTTGTTCTGCATTTCTTAATTTCTCTGTTACTTTTAAAATTGTAATTTAACTAATAATTCTCTTCATGGTTTTAATAGATTTTTCACATATGTATGCTTAACTTTTTAACAATTCCCCACCTGTAAGCCGCCTTGAATCTCTGCCAGGCAAGAAGGCGGGGCAATAATAATTAATAATAATAATAATAATTATAATAATAAGTGTTGTTTTGATGCCTGGCATGAAATCCCCTCTTGTTCCCCCTCCCAGGGATCAATGCTCAAGCCCGGAAGCTCCAGCGCAACCGCACCAAGGGCGCCATGACCCTTCTGACGGGGTGCAAGAGCCATGCCACACAGACCTCCCTCCGCCGCACCGTCAGCGAGACCAGCCTCAGCCAGGCGGGCAGCACCAGTGCCGAAGGGGGGCAGCAGGAGGAGCAGCTGAGGAGGCACTACTCCACGCTGCCCGAGACCCTCCAGTGCCTGGAGAGCGGCAGGGATGCACAGACGGCGCCCGCAGGGGACCAAAGTGGCAACAGCCTGCGCTACTCGCTGTACCAGTCTCCGCACCTGCTGCTCCTGCAGGGCTACAGCCAGCAACATGTAAGCAGGCGAGATGCGCCTTTGCTAGGCTCTGCGGCATTTAGGTCTACCGCTTTATATACAGTGGACCCTCTGGGTACAAATTTAATTTGTTCCGGGGGTCTGTGCGTACACCAAAAAATCCGTATCCAGATGCGCTGCTTCTGCGCATGCACACGGCACGTGCTTCTGCGCATGCGCGCGTGCTTCTGCGCATGCGCGAGCGGCAAAACCTGGAAAAATACTTCCGGGTTTGCCATTTTTGCAACCCGAAGTTTACGTTACTCTAGAGTAACATAACCCAAGGGTCTACTGTATGTCTGTCTGTGTGTGTGTGTGTGTGTGTGTGTATTTGTGAGTGGTGTGCAGAAAAAACCGAAGCAACAGCAGGCAACTTAATCCGTGACAATTTTTGCAAAATCAAAGTTGCTGTCATTATTACTACAGTAGTACCTTGGGTTACATACACTTCAGGTTACATACTCCGCTAACCCAGAAATAGTACCTCGGGTTCAGGATGAGAACAGAAATCGTGCTCCGGTGGTACAGCAGCAGCGGGAGGCCCCATTAGCTAAAGTGGTGCTTTAGGTTAAGAACAGTTTCAGGTTAAGAACGGACCTCCGGAATGAATTAAGTACTTAACCCGAGATACCACTGTACAGTGGAACCTCGGGATCTGTTCCAGAGACCCCGCCACAACCCGAAAATGATGCAATGCAAAGTATTGCGTCTGCGCATGTGCACGATTTAGCGCTTCTGCGCGTGCGCAAACGGTGCGAACCCGGAAGTAACCCATTCTGGTACTTCCGGGTTTGCGCCGGTCTCAATCCGAGGGTGAGCTAAGCCGGAGGCAACGTAATCCGAGGCTCCACTGTATTTACCAAGCTTTGTACAACCGTCCTTCATTCGAAGATCTCAGGGCGGTTCACAATGTAAAAAAACAAAACGAGAACATGAAATGCACAATCAGGCAAAACCAATGCACCAAAAATGCACCAAAACCAAAAATGCACAAGGCAAAACCAATAACCCACAAGCACATGTAAGAGGACCCATGTGTTAGCAGCGAGTAAGGCAGATTTCAGTCTTACATGACAGCACCCTTGAATTTGGGAGGGCTGGGGCCATGGGATCGGCTACAGATCGTTGCCAGGCCCTTTCACCACAAAGAGGCAGGGGGTTCACAAGTTTAGGGTTCTCAGATTTTTTAATTCATTCATTTATTCAATTCATTCCTCACTGCCTCCTGATTTGGGGAGTTCCACAGTTAACTCTGTGCTGCATGGAGGATTTCTTTTTATCCGTCCCAAATCTTCCCGTTCTCAGATTCATTGGGTGCACATTCAAAGCACATCCTTTCCCTAAAGCAATTCTGGGGGCTGTAGTTCACCCCTGAAAACAAAACGGCCAATAACCTAATGGCATTAAACAAATCTCTGACGCAGCCGCGTTTGTCATGCTATGTACGGTTCCGGTGACCACGTGTCAGAAATATCTTACGGAGCTGGAAAAGGCTCAGAAAAAGAGTATTGGAAGGAGCAAGTCCCTTTCGAAGAAAGCTTGCAACGTTTGGGGCTTTCTAGTTCAGAGGAAAGGTGAGCGAGAGGAAACACTATAAGAGATGTATAAAATTATGCCAAGCGTACAGAAAGTGGAGAGGGAGTTTTTCTCCTTCTCTCGTTACGCTAGAATTCGGGGAGATCCGATGAAGCCAAATGCTGGGTGATTCTGGACAGGCAAAAGGAAGCTCTTCTTCATGTAACACAGAGTTAGACTGTGGAACTCCCTCCCACTTGAAGCAGGGATGGCCATTAATTTGGATGGCTTTAAAAGAGGACAGATTCACAGAGTGACAGATCAAGTTGATGGATTATGCCAAAATGGCTAAAATGACCAGAAGAATCAGAAATCAGGAAGACCAAAATTTTAATAAGGAATGGGGGAAATGTATAACTTATCTTAAAGACCATTGTAAGCAGTTAAAATCGTTAGTAGGATTGGAATAAACCTTGTAGTTTAATGGTGAATTTTGGATACAATGGAGAGATAAAAGATTTGGAATAATATTATAAAAGATGCAGGAGGAAATGATTAACAACAGGACCCACAAAGGGGAGGAGAAAAGTCCAGGAGATTTTTGGAATCTTGTGTTTTTGTTGTATGTTGAATATGTGACTGTCCAATTTTAATCTGAAAAAGCAAATATGTATACAAAGAGAACGGAAACCAGCCAGGTCAGCATGGAAGCTGCTCCCTGGTCTCTGGTCTCCTGTGACTCGGTAATGAACGGAAGGCTCTCTGCACATTCTCAGAGGCACCATCTCCTTGCTTGCCACGCCGACCGCAGCTTGCAGTAGGGTTGAGCCTTGTCATTTGGAAGGAGCTCAGGGAACAGATTGATACTGAGTCCATCAAGGCGGGCCTGATCCAGCAGGCTCTTCTGACATTCTTAGGTTCCATCCTTAGCATCTCAGCACCTGAAACCTTGGAGAGCCATTGCCCCCCAGTGAAGACAGAGACAGATGCTCCTTCATGGACTCAGCATCAAACTATTTCTTGGTGCTTGTTCCCCTGCAAAAAATGGGAACATTATTAGGAAAAGGGAAACCTCAAAATGATATATAATGAGGACCCACAAAGGGGAGGAGAGACGTCCAGGAGATTTTTGGAACCTTGTGTTTATGTTATATGTTGAATATGTGACTGTCAAATCTTAATCTGAAAAACCAAATAAATACATTAAAAAGAAAACAGGATGCTGGCCCAGATGGGCCATTGAGATGGACCATTGACGGTGGAATATAATAGGAATAAAGATAAAGGTAAAGGGACCCCTGACCATTAGGTCCAGTCATGGCCGACTCTGGGGTTGCGGCGCTCATCTCGCTTTATTAGCCAAGGGAGCCGGCATACGGCTTCCGGGTCATGTGTCCAGCATGACTAAGCCGCTTCTGGCGAACCAGAGCAGTGCACAGAAACGCCGTTTACCTTCCCGCCAGAGCGGTACCTATTTATCTACTTGCACTTTGATGTGCTTTCGAACTGCTAGGTTGGCAGGAGCTGGGACTGAGCAATGGGCGCTCACCCTGTCACGGGGATTTGAACTGCTGACCTTCTGATCGGCAAGTCCTAGGCTCTGTGGTTTTGACCACAGTACCACCCGCGTCCCATAAATGGAATAGAATCATAGAATTTTAGAGTTGGACCTCAAGAGCCATGTAGTCCACTCAGTGCAGGAAGGAAGGAAAATATTGAATAAACGTCTTTCTCTGTGTATGTTTGTGGTTTTCTCTGTGCAGGACAGCTTGGTCTATTTGCTGAATCGCGACCAGCACACCGTCGGCCAGAGGACTCAAGCCAGCAAGCCCAGCATCAGCCTCTCTGCTCCGGACATCCTCCCCCTCCATTGCACCATCCGGAAGGTCAAGGCGTCCAGCCGCTCCAGCCACCGCCCTGAAGAGAAGCTGGTCCTGGAGCCCATCGCGGGGGCGGCCATCTCCATCAACTTCTCCGAGGTGGGCAGGACGGCGGCTCTCCACCACGGCGACCTCATCTCCCTCGGCCTCTACTACCTGCTGCTCTACAAGGACCCCGTGAAGACGCAGCCGCTGCCCGCCCAGACCCTCATGAGGCTGAAGGCCGCGCGCCGAGCCTCCGAGCCTGAGCTGCCCTCCACCTGCAAGGTCTGCGGCAGCCAGGCGAGGGACAAGGGCTCGTCGGCCAAGAAGGCGCCAGCGCCGCCGCAGGGACCCTCTGGGCGGAAGGGAGGCCGCCGGAAGCTGCAGCTGGAGTTTGACAAGGCCAGCGAGGACCTGCTGCTGCGGAGGATTGTCACGCTCATCGAGCCCACCAGCGACGACCACAAGCTGGCACCCGCCTTCCTCCTCTGCCTCTGCGTCCAGCACTCGGCCGGCCACTTCAGGCCTGGGGAGTTTGGCCATCTCCTCCTCAAGTTGGCTAAGATGATACAGAGGACCGTGTGGGTCAGTATATATTGGATATATTGTGGGATGTGGTACGTAAATAGCAGTCAAGTACAACATTCCTCGTTTTCCTAGAGTGGACATGCAGGGGGATGTTTGGTCCAGCCAGTCGAAAACTTCCTGTTTCCTCCTGGACTGGGACATACTTCCTCTGGCATGTGACCAGGTTACCTGTGCAGGTAACAAAAGCACAAGGCCTGCAGCCCTCCTCCTTTCTTTTCCATCTTCCTTTCATCGAAGTGACTGCCAGTCTGCAGTCACTGGGATTAACCCCCCATATGGGTTAGACCCACATGTATATATCTTTGTAACTAAGTCTGCCTTCAGGGATCCAACTGTGAACTGATGATGTGAGTAAACTACTTTTATATACTTTACACAAGATTGTGGAGTGTTTATTCTTTTAAGAGGGAAAGGATCTTACCAGGAATCTATACTGAGAAGCTTAAACAAGCCTGCAACCAGCTACCTGCTGTGCGTTCAAAGGGGAATGTTAAAACTCTGCTCAGTTATAGAACTTGCTAGCGTGAGTTAGGAAGGATATTGAACATTCCCACATATATAACATTCCCACATATATAATTGAATCTCTCTCCTTCTTTCGGTCAAAGAGAACAGGGCCTTTTTAGTGGTGGCTCCCCATTTGTGGAATGCTCTCCCCAGAGAGGCTCACCTGGCACCATCATTGCATGTTCTCTTTAACCAGGCCTTGGGCCGTTAAACCATCTATATGAGCTGTTAAATGCGTGGAGAGGAGGGACTGTTATTATGACTATGTTATCATGATTCTGTGTATTATTATGCTCTGGGTTCTGTTTTCCTTATTATGCTGCGTAAATTGATTCATTGATTGATTGTATTTCTATGCCGCTGTTCATTCAAAAGAATCTCAAAGCAGCTTACAACCAATAAATAACCATAACATAATAAAATGTAATAGCACATTGCGAATACAGCATGCATCATATAAAATAATTAACCAATTATCAATAAAACAGTTGCAATCTAAAAAAACGCACACACACCTTAACAAAACAGCAACTAAAAATTAAGCTAAACCTCACAATTACGGCAAGTCATGTGATTAACAAATCAATGCACCATTTAGAATTTATAAAACGATATTTAAAAAATTAGCAAAATAGCAGCTAAAAATATATACTAAGCACTAAGTTCATTCAGACAATCTCTGCAACCCCATGAGGTTATTAATATTGTACACCACCCTGGGATCTTTGGCTAAAGGGCAGTATATAAATAAAATAAGATATATAAAATAAAATAAAAGTTAGGTGCACTTGTGTGGGAAAGCAAGGTGGTTAACCAGTTTTGGCCCAGGGTGTTTTCCTTAATGTCAAGCATCACTCGACAAGGCCTGCTTAGATTCCAACTAAACATTAGGAAGAACTTTTTCCAATGGCAAGAACCATTCAACAGTGGGACAGAATCAACACAGTCCCAAGTAAAGCCTTTCTCTGCTCAATACCCCAGAGAGGAGCAGCTGCCAGTCAGAAGAGATAATAATGAGTGAAATGGACCAGCAGTCTGACTGATTCATCAGTTGCTTTATTCCTTAGTATAAGACAGCTACATTGGAAGCCCCCCAGAGTGGCTGCGGAAACCCAGCCAGATGGGCAGGGATAAACGTTGTTGTTGTTGTTGTTACATGGACTCCTTTTCCTGCAGCATGGAGTTCCGCTGTTCAAGATTCCAGCCACTCCATTCTGTCCCCCTGTTTTCCACAACACCCGCCCCGCTCCTGCCAGTAATTCCACGGCCACTGAGCATGCTCAGTCTTGATTAGCCCGTCCTTTGGAATTTTCTCCTCTGAAGATTGGTTATCCTTCTGCAAATCTTTGGGTTTGCCTGCTGCGAATGAACACTCACTACGGGGGGAGGGATGAGAAGTTTATTGTGAGAAAACGTGGCTAGCAAGCAAAATTGGGACTGGCTGTGCAGATTTGGGCACTTTCTCATCTTCACAGTGTCAGTGATATTTCATTCCTTTTCCCTTTCTTTCTTTGTTTCCTTCCTCGATTCCAGGAGAAAACAAACGAACTAGCCGAGAAACAGTCGCAACAGTAAGTCTTCTGCATCCAGGATTTCCGCTTCTTTCTGCGAAAAGTTGCTTGCAAATAAATGTGCATGTAGGTTTCGGTTTGCATGTCGCCCAAACCAAACTCTGTGTCATCCTGGGGGGTGAGGAGGATGCCTTCAAAATATAGCATGCAAATGCATCATATAACAAGCAGTATTTATCTTAAAGGCAGTCTCCTAACGAATGCAAAGCCTATTCAATTGCAAAGCAAATGCTAAAAGGACCTGGTTCTCACAGTACAGCAAGCCATGGTTTATTCGTGCTTTGTGTGAATACCTGAACCTAGTGCAGCAGACTAGCCCTGTTTTGTTTTCTGGGAAGAAATTGTAGCGCAATGTCATCGGTCGTTGCTGTTCTCGTTGTTTTTGCTAATTATTCACAGCCTGGAGAAAGGGGAGCGAGATTTTTCTTCTTCTTCCTACCACTAGAACTATTGGACATGTAGTGAAGCTAGATTGGAAGATTCTGGGTGGATAAAATAAAATTTCCTTTTATCTATTCCAAATCTTCTGACATTCAGATTCAACTCCCAAGAGATAGCCTTTAATAGGAACATTTCTTAATTCAATTTGCTTCTGCGGTTGCATAACCATTCTGGAGAGAAATACAACCTCGGTTTTCGAGCGTCTTGGAAGCAGAATGATTTGGAAGCTGAAAACTGGGAAGTAATTGCTTCCGTTTTCGAATGCGCCTCGGAAGTCGAATGGTTTCCGCTGTGTGTTCTTCCATTTTTTCAATGGATTTTGCCAGCCGCCCATTGATCCTTGGTTTTCGAACATTTCAGAAGTTGAATGGTCTTCCGGAACGGATTATGTTCGAAAACCGATGTTCCATTGTACTTCCTCCAAAAGAGGGGATGAAAAAAGGGTCGGAGTGGAGTAAATTGGCTTGAGTCCAGATCTGCTTCCTGACATGTGTATTCTGCAATTCTGCTCAAGTACAGAAAGGCCTCAGAGACCCCAGAGGGATTTGGGATTTAGCATCCACTTAAACCCCTAGGAGAACCTTCGAACGTCACCCAAAGGCATCATTCTGCCTGCTGGTAGCAGGAACCAATGTCACAAACCTGTGTCCCCTTCCCTCCAATGCCTGGCCACACACAACATACAAGGCCACCTCCTGTGATTCCTAATTCATACCCTAGAGTCCCTGATACTTGTCTATCTGTTTGTTTATTGCATTTATTTATTGCATTTATAAGGGACACGGGTGGCGCTGTGGGTTAAACCACTGAGCCTAGGGCTTGCTGATCAGAAGGTCGGCGGTTCGAATCCCTACGACGGGGTGAGCTCCCATTGCTCGGTCCCTGCTCCTGCCAACCTAGCAGTTCGAAAGCACGTCAAAGTGCAAGTAGATAAATAGGTACCGCTCCGGTGGGAAGGTAAATGGCATTTCCGTGCGCTGCTCTGGTTTTGCCAGAAGCGGCTTAGTCATGCTGGCCACATGACCCAGAAGCTGTACGCCGGCTCCCTCAGCCAGTAAAGCAAGATGAGTGCTGCAACCCCAGAGTCGTCCACGACTGGACCTAATGGTCAGGGGTCCCTTTACCTTTATTGCATTTATATCCCACCCTTTTCTCCAGGGAGCTCAAGGTGACATGCATATTGCTCCCCCCCCCAACCTCATTTAATCCCCACAACAGCCCTGTGAGGTGGGCTAGACTGAGAGGCAGGTAACCAGCAAGCAAGCTGGCTGAGCGGGGATTTGAACCCTGGCCTCTCCCAGATCCTAGTCTGATGCTCTAACTGCTACACCACGCTGCCTCTCACACTGCAAATTTTGCTTCAGATGCATAATCCACGTGGGTTGCAGAATGCTGCTTGCCTTGGCACGGAATTAGGGTTGACCGCCTTACAGAAGCCTGATCATCTCTTGCGGTTGTTGTTCTGCTTGATGCTGACAAACGGAGTGTGGAAAGGACAAATGTCTCTGTGTGCCAAGTCCGGCCTTTTTCGCTCTCCTTTTCTTTGTGTTTATTGTGGCCTTATCTTGTTTGCACAGCAACTCAGCCAGGCTCTTTTAGTGTCCTTTATTTGCTCGGTTGCATTCCTCCTCCGATTCCTTAACAACCCGCGAAGGCATCTGATGAGAGAAGGAGGGGACTTGATTAAGACAATCCATTCAGACAGGCTTGAATTATTATTGCGGCAATCTATATATAAAGCAAAAACAAAAAGCAGCACTTCGTTGCAAGGGGAAGAATGAAAGCAGATCCAGATTTCCTTGTCCTCTTTAGGTAATTGGAACAGTCTTAATATAAGGGAGCAGAGCTGGTGGGTGCAGTCTCTCTCTGGAGTCTATCATTTTGGTGAAATGATCCCATATGATTTTATTTATTCTTTTGGAATAAACAACCAGTCTTGGCGCCTGGAGACTGGAGAGACTGTAAGGAAACGCTGGTGGGAAGAAGAGGGGCATATCCTTCTGAAAAAGAAGGCTGTTTCTCAGGAAGCTGGGGTTAAGCAGAGCCATGTGGTGCAGTGGTTAGTGCAGCCTATGCCAACATCTGGCACTCTCCAGATGTTTTGGACTATAGTTCCCAAGTGCCCCAGATTTTCTACAGGAACCTCAGGCGGAATAGCCATCCCTGCACCGATCAAAACCCTTCCACGTTGTGCCACATCCAACTTGCGCAATTTCAACTTTGTGCGCTTGGCAGCTGGCCGGCTGAACTCGCCCAAATTAAATGCACGGAAGGCAGAGAGCTTAAAAGCTCTTTTGGGGCAGCTTTCTCCCTAAGCTCTCCGCCTTGCATTCAGGGCTCTGGGAGGCTCTTGCGGAAACCCAAGGCGGTTGTGTGAGATCTTGCGAGGGTCTCTCAGAGCCTGGTGAGCAAAGTGGAGGTTCGAAGATCTGTTTGAAGAGGGGTGGTGTTGGGTTTGTGCGCGAACTGCATACCTGTAGCTCTGCCGGGATGCCTCTCAACTCTGCGCTTGTCTCGTCAGCCAGGATCCTGCGTCTCTCTCCCGCTTCACCATCAAAGACCTGCTGCCCGATTTGCAGCACGTCCTTTTCTGGATGTCGAACTCCATTGAAATCCTCTACTTTGTCCAGCAGAAATCCCCGGTTTACATCCAGAGCATGGAGGAGGAGCTGGACATGAAAGGTGTTTTATTATGCTTTTAGATTGGTTGGAGTGGGTGGGGTCAGGGCTGGATTTAGGTGTGATGAGGCCCTCAGCTACTGAAGGTTATGGGGCCCTTGATATGTCCAGCTGTCCTTTGTCAACAACAAATTGCCGCTGTTTTTTGTGTTGAATATATGCTAGTATATGGTAATTTATGGACCTAATAGGTATCGGTGTAAAAGCTTAGCAAACTTCACTGAGTTATTTCACACACGCAGAGTTGCGTCTCTCCATCTTCACATTTGTGGAGTTGGCCATGTGGCTCTTTCCATGCTGACGTGGAACCCCTTCGCATTCTCTGTCTTTTCCTGGCGCATTATCTTAACGCAATTTTTAAAAAATGATATTTAAATTAATTGCTTTATGGGATTATTAAGCGTGTTCACCTCTCTGGGTTCCTGCAGCACGAGGGGCAGTTTGCAAACGTGAACAATAAATAAACACATTAAGGTTTTGGCCTCCGAATGCAAGGCTTTTTGGGAAAAGCTGCAGAGGTGCCTTTTCTCGAGAAGCAAACGCTCAGCCCCAAATGTTGGGCTCAGCTCTCCTCATTCTTTCTTTTTCCTGTTTCCCTTTTAGGATCCAAGGAATCTCTCATTTCCCTGACCATCACTGCCAGCGAAGAAGCCATGACAGTCCTTGAGGAAGTCATTATGTATACCTTCCAGCAGTGTGTCTATTACATCTCCAAGGTAAATATATGTCCCAGGGAGCAGTGGGGCTGAGGGTTGCTTCTCCTGACCGAGGTCCAAAGACTGGGGGGGAAACCCCATATTTATTTTATTTATTTGATGCATGTGCCACTCAAGCATAGAAATCCTCAAGGCAGTCTACGGAAAGAATAAAACAGTGAGGTTATCAGTCAGACCAGCTAAAACATTTGAACATTAAAAACCAGCAATAAGCTAAAACACACACCAGCATTCTATTCTTCTTCCTCTTCTTCTTCTTCTTCTTCTTACTATTAAATTTGTATTCCGTCCTATACAATAGATCTTAGGGTTCACAACACAAAATTAAGATATAAAAAATACATAACACATTCTAGGTATCTGGGTAAAGGTAGAGGGACCCCTGACCATTAGGTCCAGTCGCGGCTGACTCTGGGGTTGTGGCGCTCATCTCGCTTTATTGGCCGAGGGAGCCGGCGTACAGCTTGTGGGTCATGTGGCCAGCTGACTAAGCCACTTCTGGCGAACCAGAGCAGCGCACGGAAACACCATTTACCTTTCCGCCGGAGCGGTACCTATTTATGTACTTGCACTCTGATGTGCTTTCAAACTGCTAGGTGGGCAGGAGCAGGGACCGAACAACGGGAGCTCACCCCGTCGTGGGGATTCGAACCGCCGACTTTCTGATTGGCAAGTCCTAGGCTCTGTGAAAAGGTTTCTTCAGCAGGTGGCGGAGAAGAAGACAGCAAAGGCTGCCACTGCTTGGTGTCCATCGGCGGGGAGTTCCAAAGTGCGTAGGTGCCGCCAGTCTAAAAGATCAGACTCCTTACAGCTGAGGAAGGGGTATTATGTGGGTCACTTCCTCAAATCGAAGGGGTCAAGAGGGTATGCAAGGGGCAAGGCGATCTTGCAGGGAGACTGGCTTGCGGTAGACATTTCTGAAGGGTGGACATTTCTGAATGCAAGGCAACCCCCCCCCCCGCAAGCAGAAATCAAGCCTGTCAGGGAGAAGGTTAATGTTGATCTTTGCCTGTCATGTGAAAGTGGCCCTTTTAGCTGCCAAACCAACCTTTCTGAGGATGAAGAAACTGAGGTCCATGTATCATGGTCTTTACCCAATGTTGCAGCGGAGGGGGGGTTCCTCGTTCTAGACCTCCCCAGGAGCACCCAAGATTGCTTATATAGCTCAAATCATTCCCCAGTTGCAGTCAGAGGCACAGACTCTCTCAACCTTTGCAGAGCTCATTCTGTCCCCCCATGCAGAGAAACGGCTGTGTCTCCAGGCCTGGCCCTCTGCTGCACGCATGGCTGGCACCGCGCAAAGAGAAAGTGTCTCCTTGCAGATGTAGCTCTGCACATCCTGCACTGCACCACAGGCGCAGCCAGCCGTGCATGGCAGTGACAACCGTCGCTGGCTGTGGTGATGTCACGGGGAGAAGGGGAAAGGGAGGGAGGGGGAGATCGGAGGGGGCCAACTTCCAGCAACCTGCAGACATGATACATTACAAACGGTTTTGGGTAGACATCGAGAAGTCAGCAAAACAGAGGGCTTGTCTTTTTAATCTCCTGTTTGCAAACTGTAGGGACGTGGGTGGTGCGGTGGTCTAAATCAGAAGGTCTGTGGTTCGAATCCCCAGCTCCTGCCAACCTAGCAGTTTGAAAGCACACCAAAAGTGCAAGTAGATTAATACGTACCGTTCCAGCGGGAAGGTGTAAAATCCGAAGTGTAAGCTCCTCGAAGGCAGGGGACTCCTCGCTCTCCCCACCTCCCTGCTTGCTCCTTTGCAAAGCTCCGAGTACCCGGGTTGCGAAGCTCTCGCCTCGAGCGCCAGGCGTCTGGCCGAGAGGAACCTCTCGTGAAATGAATCAGGTCTCGCAGCCTGGAAGGCCAGAGAAATGAGCACTTTTACCGGAAGGGTGAGGAAACACTTTCCGAGACGCTATATTTGGAGGGGTGACTCTGCCTTTCGCCAGTTCTGGCGCACATTCAGCAAGCCTCCAGGTTGGAAATCTGCCTGTTCTTTCCCTTCTCAGCTTTTCCTGGTGCCCTTCCCACTCTCATCTTAATTTTTATTATTATTATTATTATGGAGAAAGCAAGAAAAGCGACTCAAGGGGGAAATGCCACGCAGGGTTAACAAAACCCTCAATAGTGTACTCCACGCTGGTGCAATAAAAATAGAATGATATGACTATTGATTTCAAGCCCAGAATAAAACGAAAACCCACGACTGTTGTGGGTTGAGATGAATCTTAAAGAGGAATAATATGCTATGGTATTGAATTAGCCAAAATCCATTGATTAGCAGAGGGAGGGGACAAACTGTTTTCCTCTTTATTGACATGTGTTAACACAATCAAGCCAGACAGCTGCAAACTTCTCGTTCTTTCCATCTTGGCGATTGGTCCAATATTCCAGCCGTCTCCATATCTGCCTGCCCTGCCCTCTCTCACAGCAGACTTCATCAACGCCAGACCGCTGGCAGCTATAAAAAAATGCATTTCTGAAAATTAAAAATGTATGAAATATATGGCACAGCAATAAAACTGCTAGCATATTTGCAAAGCTAAGCAGGGTCCAGTATGGTTTCGAATTGGAAGGGGATCCACGTTTCGAAATTCCTGTATTGCAGAGTCCCTTCCAGCGCTACAATTATATGATTCCAGTCCTGATTTATTGCCTTCTCTGCAATACTCTTCTATTTGTGAGGCCTTTCATAGAATCATGGAATTGTCAAGTTGGAAGGGACCTCGAGGGTCATCTAGCCCAACCCCTGGCAACCTGAGCGCATCTTAGTTTAATTTGTGTGCTACCCAATTATATAAATCTTTTTAATTTCAGAAATGCAACTTTCCCAAAATGCCAGATTTGCACAAAAGAGCTGTCAAAAGCAAAAGTTTGAAAAAGGTGTGTGTTTCTTGGCTCCAAGCCAGGAATCCTGAGGCCTGTTGTGGGTGCAGAAATAATAATAATAATAATAATAATAATAATAATAATAATAATCATTTATACCCTGTCCACACTCTAGACAGCTTCCAACAAAATATTAAAATACAGTAATGCATCAAACATTAAAAGCTTCCCTAAACAGGGCTGCCTTCAGATGTCTTCTAAAAGTCTGGTAGTTGTTGTTCTCTTTGACATCTGGTGGGAGGGCGTTCCATCTAGATAAATAGATGTTGTTGTTGTTTAGTCGTGTCCGACTCTTTGTGACCCCCCTGGACCAGAGCATGCCAGGCACTCCTGCCTTCCACTGCCTCCCGCAGTTTGGTCAAACTTGTGTTGGTAGCTTCGAGAACACTGTCCCACCATCTCGTCCTCTGTCGTCCCCTTCTCCTTGTGCCCTCCATCTTTCCCAACATCAGGGTCTTTTCCAGGGAGTCTTTTCTTCTCATGAGGTGGCCAAAGTCTTGGAGCCTCAGCTTCAGGATCTGTCTTTCCAGTGAGCACTCAGGGCTGATTTCCTTCAGAATGGAGAGGTTTGATCTTCTTGCCGTCCATGGGACTCTCAAGAGTCTCCTCCAGCATCATAATTCAAAAAGATAAATAGATACACACACACACAAATATCTAGATAAATAGATACATACACACACATACAAGCTGCAACGCTTCCCCAGCGCTACGTGGGACCAAAGTGGGTCACTCACCCCTCCTCAGAACATTTGGTATGAGAAGTTCAGAGCTGAGCCGCCCTTTCTCTCTCCCCGTCCCTGTCCAGTCTCTGTACGTGTCTTTGCCACCCTTGTTGGACTGCAACCCCTTCCAGAGCGAAGGGCGAGAGGGCTGGCTCTCTTCCCCGCCTCTTCCTGAGGAGATACGCAAAGTGGTGTCCACCTACCAGGCCAGCTTGGACCTCCTCCGCCAGTATGAGGTGCACCTCGAAATCAGCTCCCAGATGTTTGCCTACCTGTTCTTCTTCTCCAACACCCTCCTCTTCAACCAGCTGATGGAAAAAGGTGAGTGGTGGGAGGAGCTTCCAGGTGGGAGGTGTGGGGTGTGAAACACAGAGCAGTCAAATACAACATTCCTAGAGTGGACATGTTTAGACATGAAGAGGGATGTTTGTCCAGCCAGTAGATAAACCACCTGTTCCCTCCTGGGCTGGGACAAACTTCCTCTACAGGTGAGCAGAGGTGGGTGTGACCTTACCTGTGCAGGTAACAAACAGGGCAAGCAGCCATCTCTCTCTCTCTCTGACTCCATTCCTCAAAGAAGCAACATCTCCTTAGCCTGAGATGCTCTCTTGGTTTCCAGCCAAGAGAGGACAAAGGAACTATCTCCTTATGGGATAGATTCCAGGTGTGTATACAGTGGACGCTCGGGTCGCAAACGTGTTCCGTGCGGGATGCACGTTCACAACCCACAGCGTTCGCAACCCACAGTGGCGCATCTGTGCACGCGCGGGTTGTGATTCGGCGCTTCTGCGCATGTGCAAAGCATGATTTAGCGCTTCTGCGCATGCGCGACCGCCGAAACCCGGAAGTAACCAGTTCCGGTACATCCGGGTTTCGCCAGTCCATAACCTGAAGAAACACAACCTGAAGCGTCTGTAACCCGAGGTATGACTGTATTTTGTAACTTAAATCTGCCTTCTGGGATCCATTTGTGAACAGAACGTGTGAGTAAAGTCTTTTATACTTTTGTACAATACTGTGTTGTGTCTATTCTTTTTAGGAGGGAATAAAAGGGGAATTACCAGGAAACTTATTTTAGAGGCTTATGCAAGCCTGGCAAACCTATCTGCTGTGTAAGTTTAAAAGGGTGGGGTGTTACTCTGCTAAATCATAGAAATTGTTAACACAAGTTGGGAAGGATATAATTAAACAATATATCCTCTCCTGCCTCCCTGAACATTCCCACAGGAGGACCAAGGATGCTGGCAAGAGATCATCATCTTTGTCATTTTACTTATACGCCGCCTTTCCATAGTTGAAACAATGCTCAAGGCGGCTTGGTCTGGAGACGGGGATCTGGAGAGAGATTTAATTTTATCAAAGTTTAATTGTTTCATAATTATTGTTCCGCACACCCTCTGCTTTTAGCTGTCAGGGGAAAAGGAGGGGTACAAATTAATTAATTAATTAACTAATCAATCAATCAATTAATAAATAATTCAATAAGTAAATGAAATAAAATCTAAGAAGCACTTGTAAATTATTTGAAATGGAAAAACCTGGCGGAAATGAAGATCTCAAGAGCATCGTGGGGTCAACTGGGCAATCTGACAATGCACATCCGAAGCTGGTGATCCTTCCATGACCTTCCTCTTCTTCTCCTCCTCTTCCTCTTCCTCCCCAGGCTCCTCCTTGGGCTGCTTCCATTGGTCGAAAGGCGTGAGAGTCCGTGCCACCCTTCGGCTGCTCCTGGAATGGGCACAGCGTGTGGGCTTTGGGCAGCTGGCGGACGAGTTCTTTGGCAAGCTCTCCAGCGTGGCCAGCCTCTTGGCCATGCCAAACTCCCAGCTGGCGCAGGTGAGGAGCCCTTGGCCTCAAAGGGGCACGTCCAGTTGGGCAGTCCAGCAGGGGGGAGTTTTATGTGCCCGCAGCCACCGTCTCGTGAGTAGGGTTGCCAGGTCTCCGGGGGCTGACCCAAAGTCTCCAGGCTTGTCTGCTAACCCCTTGCAGGTGGCAGGACGGACGGAGGGGGCTTGACTCTCCAGCTGGGTGAGGGCACCTTTTAAAAAAATAATTTAATCGAGGAGGCTGCCTGCAGCTTGAAAGCTTCAGCCCAGCAGGAGCTGGATGAAGATTGTTGCATGGCCTCAAACGGGGCAGGAAGAAGAAGAAGAAGAGTTTGGATTTGATATCCCGCCTTTCACTCCCTTTAAGGAGTCTCAAAGCGGCTAACATTCTCCTTTCCCTTCCTCCCCCACAACAAACACTCTGTGAGGTGAGTGGGGCTGAGAGACTTCACAGAAGTGTGACTGGCCCAAGGTCACCCAGCAGCTGCATGTGGAGGAGCGGAGACTCAAACCCGGTTCCCCAGATTATGAGTCTACCACTCTTAACCACTACACCACACTGGCTCTGTGTCCTGCCCTCCTCCCCTCTCCCAATCAACTTCCATCTCTTATTGCATAGTCTTTCTGGGGGTAATGCTCTCCTCCCCCCCTCTTCCCCCTCCCAGTTAACCTCTATCTCTGCAAATTATTGCATAACCTTTCTGGGAGGTAATGCTCTCCTCCCCTCCCTCTTCCCTTCTTCCAATTAACCTCTATCTCTGGAAATTTTTGAATAACCTTTCTGGGGGGTGATGCTCTCCTCCCCTCCCCCTTCCCCTCAGTGAAGCAGGGGTGGTGGGGCAGGAGGAGGAGGTGTGGAAGGCCTTGACCAGGCATAGGCAAACTCTGCCCTCCAGATGTTTTGAGACTACAATTCCCATCATCCCTGACCACTGGTCCTGTTAGCTAGGGGTGATGGGAGTTGTAGTCCCAAAACATCTGGAGGGCTGAGTTTGCCTGTGCCTGGCCTTGACTCTCCACCATCCCAACCCATCTCTCCCTCCTCTGGCACCTGCTCTTTGCTTTCCAATCTTGCAGCTTCTCCTGCCTCTGAGCCTCGTCTTCCAGGCTCTCCCAGATCACTGATCCCTTCCTCCAAGTCAGTCTCCAACCCCCCTTCTCCCAGTGCCCGCTCAGCAGTCTCCGGCCACCACCTCTCAGTGTCCAGCCGGTCCCCTAGGTCTCAGGTTTGGTCTCTGAAATCTCAGCATCTAAGATCCTCACAATCCCGTGATGTTGGCAGCGCACATCTGAGGGTGGCGCCAGCCGCCCAGTGATGGCCGTGGGGATCATCCCTCTGCAACACGTCACCCATCCCTCTCTTGCTTTGCTCAGATGACCTGGCCTGTGCTGAGAGCCGAATTCCCTGCCCTCAATCCTGCCCAGCTACACCACATCCTCACCCAATACCAGGCCTCGTCCGACATGGGCTGTGTACCAGCCTGGCAGCCCAGCAAGGAGGATAGCCTGGCAGCCTTCAGGACAGGTAAGATCAGCCACGGCCGAGTTGCCCGGCGAGGGATTCTGTCGAGAATCGTGGGGGAATCGTAGAAGGGGAGAGTCAGAAGGGGCAATGGGAGAAATGCTTAAAGAAACAAATGTGTATGCCATGGGTAGGCAACCTAAGGCCCGGGGGCCGGATGTGGCCCAATCGCCTGCTAAATCCGGCCCACAGATGGTCAGGGAATCAGCATGTTTTTACATGTGTAGAATGCGTCCTTTTATTTAAAATGCATCTCTGGGTTATTTGTGGGGCCTGCCTGGCGTTTTTACATGAATAGAATGTGTGCTTTTATTTAAAATTCTTCTCTGGGTTTTTTGTGGGGCTTAGGAATTTCTTTATCCCCCCCCCAATATAGTCCAGCCCCCCACAAGGTCTAAGGTACAGTGCACCTTCCCCCTGCTGGAAAAGTTTGCTGACCCCGGTATATGCAGTTCAAATGTCCCCATTTCTCTGCCACTGAAAATGAAATGGGACGGACTTCAGTGCAGTTTGGATGCCCACCCCTCGTCACCAATTACATTCCTGCCTTGATGGGGGGTTGGACTAGATGACCCTCCGTGTCCCTACAATTCTACGAATCCCTGACACCCCAAGCAGGGCTGGGGAAGTCCCCTTTCTGAAACCCTCTGCCAGTCTTTCAAAAATACGAAAACACTTCAGAAAAGAAAATCTCAAGTCGAGCGAGGACCCGATGCAGCCCTAACCGTGCTTGGTGGGAGGGGGACACAGATTACTGGCTGATTCTTGTGGGAACGGGGGACGGAACGGAGCGCTCTGGGAAAGGTCGTCGCAGCCGAGACCTTGAACGGGAGCACTTACTGCAACATTTTGCTGTGGGTCCCAGGCGTAGCTTCATATTTCATAGGTGAAAGTCATTTTGCAGGGCTGACCAATCCGCTTGGCTCGCTCCCCTGCTCCCCCCCCCCAAGCACACGTTTTGATTAATGGGAGACATTTGAGGGGCACATTGCTCAGAGAGAGGCGAGTGCCGCATGCGGTCCTCGCACCGTTTGTGCACAAGGGAAACGGCACCAGCCACAGCCTTTGCATGCGCTCTTGTCTCGGAGCACGAATGCCCATCATTCCCCACAGAGCTTTTAGGGCGAAAACAGGAGGCTGCTGAAATATCATGGTGGAAACAAGCGTTCCCCTGCCAGGAAAGGCAACCTTTTAAATCAACATTTGGGGAATGATTTTGTGTCAAGTACCCAAAGCGATCGGCAGAGAAGCCTCATCCGTGCCAAAGCAATTAGACTGAAAGATGGAGACAGGGCGGCCGATTTCTGCTTCCTTGGCTGGTTTAGGCAGGGCTGGAAAGCGGTTCTCCTGTCCCATGCCAATGGGGAGTATGTGGTAGCACCCCTCCAAACAGCACAGAGGATTCTGGGGCATATAATAATAATAAAATTTTATTTATATCCCGCCCTCCCCAGCCAAAGCCAGGCTCAGAGCGGCTAACAACAATAAAAGTAACACAGCATTCTAAAATCAATTCATTCTAAAATCAATTCAGAATCAAATTAATGGCAACCATTGGGCTAGAGTTCTATGAGGATTACAGAAAGAGGGGGTCACACTGTGCCTTGGCCAAAGGCCTGGTGGAGCAGGCCCCTGCAGGGCCCTAGTCTCTTGTGACAGAGCATTCCACCAAGTCGGGGCCAGTACTGAAAAGGCCCTGGCCCTAGTTGAGACCAATCTAACCACCTTGCGGCTTGGGACCTCCAAAGTGTTGTTATTTGTGGACCTTAAGGTCCTCCATGGGGCACACCAGGAGAGGCGGTCGCGTAGGTACAAGGGTCCTAGGCCGTATAGGGCTTTAAAGGTTAAAACCAGCACCTTAAACCCAATCCTATACTCCACTGGGAGCCAGTGCAGCTGGTATAGCACCAGATGAATGTGATCCCGTGGCAAGGACCCCGTAAAGAGTTTCACCGCAGCATTCTGCACCCGCTGGAGTTTCTGGGTCAGTCTCAAGGTCAGCCCCGCGTAGAGCGAGTTACAATAATCCAGTCTGGAGGTGACCGTCGTGTGGATCACAGTGGCTAGGTCAGGGCGAGAGAGATAAGGGGCCAACTGCTTAGCTTGGCGGAGATGAAAAAAATGCTGAGCTGGTGTGTGTGGGGCGGGGGGCTGTTATTTATGGTTGCATCACGAAAACCCAAAACTCAGACATTTGCTTCCTCCACAATGGGCTTTAGATGACATCCTGGAGTCCTTCGACAGCCACCCGCCAATCATGCTGCCCAGTGGGGGGTTCAAGGTAGACCTGGAGGCTGAACACCTGGATGACAACATTTACCAGCACTTCCTCTACATCCGCCACTTCCTATGGAGCTTGCGCAGCAAAAGCCCCCACCCCAGTGACTCGCCCGAAGCGGAGACGCCCAAGGTAAAACTCTTTTGCCTTTCCAGAATCTTGAGGGTTTGATCTCACATCTTTGAGATATAAAAAGGGCCGTCGCACTCAGTTGTCACAAGTGGGGTATGTTTAGCCTGGAGAAGAGGAGACCGAGAGGTGGCCATGATAGCCACCTAAAATATCTGAAGGGCCGTCAAGTGGAAGATGGAACAAGCTTCTTTTCTGCTGTGCCAGAAAGCAGGACTCGAACCCGTGGCTTCAAGTTACAAGGAAGGAGATTCCGACTCAACATCAGGAAGAACTTTCTGACAGTAAGAGCTGCTCCACAGTGGATCAGACTCCCTCAGGGGTTGTGGATTCTCCTTCCTTGGAGATTTTTAAGCAGATTTTGGACGGCCATCTGCCATGCTTTAGTTGAGATTCCTGCATTGCAGGGGGTTGGACTAGATGACCACTGGGTAGAAAGGAACAGTCTGGCAAGACTGCTGATGGAAGGGGAAAAGAAGCCTTAAGGTTCATTACAGTATGATCACCTTACATGGCAATTACCTTGCACGATTTCAACCATATGCGGTTGAAGGCTGCGTAAGTTAAATCCAAGCAAGGCAGGGATCTTAAAAACTCTTTTTACACCAGGCCTGCTTGGGTTGATCCAGTGCAGAACAAGCTGTGAAGCTCTCTTGCCTCACTTGGAGGGGCCAGAACCTCTCAGTACACCAGCTCTGGAATGGTCTTGCAAGGTCTCGTGGGCATAATGGCTCTGGGGTGCTTGCACGAGATCTCACGTGGCCATGCGTGTTCCCACGGGGAGGCTGCCTTCCGGAGTTTCCGTACCACGTGGGCCTTAAAAGCTTTCTGCCCTGCTTTCTGGGCTCGCACACAGGCTCAGGGAGTATGATGCATTCTCTCTCTCCCCATCCACTAGCCGCAGGGAAGACACAGAGGGTTTTGGGTAATAATAATAATAATAATAATAATAATAATAATAATATAAAAAAATTTAAAAAAATCCCTTCCATCTGGCTGGGTTTTCCCAGGCACTCTGTGTGGCTCCCAACAGAATTATTATTATTATTATTATTATTATTCAGTGGTACCTTCGGTTAAGAACTTAAAGTGGTACCTCAGGTTACAGACTCCGCTAACCCAGAAATAGTACCTCGGGTTAAGAACTTTGCTTCAGGATGAGAACAGAAATTGTGCTCTGGCGTCGCAGCAGCAGTGGGAGATCCCATTAGCTAAAGTGGTGCTTTAGGTTAAGAACAGTTTCAGGTTAAGAACGGACCTCCAGAACGAATTAAGTAGGTACCACTGTAATTTGTTCTGGAGGTCCGTTCTTAACCTGAAACTGTTCTTAACCTAAAGCACCACTTTAGCTAATGGGATCTCCCACTGCTGCTGCGCCGCCGGAGCACAATTTCTGTTCTCATCCTGAAGCAAAGTTCTTAACCCAAGGTACTATTTCTGTGTTTGTGGAGTCTGTAACCTGAAGCCCCTGTAACCCAAGGTACCACTGTAAAGCGATCAAGCATTAAAAACTTCCCTGAACAGGGCTGCCTTCAGATGTCTTCTAAAAGTCAGATAGTTGCTTATTTCCTTGCCATCTGATGGGAGGGCGTTCCACAGGGCAGGAGCCACCACCGAGAAGGCCCTCTGCCTGGTTCCCTGTAACCTCACTTCTTGCAGGGAGGGAACCACCAGAAGGCCCTCGGAGCTGGACCTCAGTGTCCGGGCTGAACGATGGGGGTGGAGACACTCCTTCAGGTATACTGGGCTGAGGCCATTTAGGGCTTTAAAGGTCAGCACCAAGATTTTGAATTGTGCTCGGAAATGCACTGGAGCCAACGTAGGTCTTTCAGGACCGGTGTTATATGGTCTCGACAGCCACTCCCAGTCACCAGTGTAGCTGCCGCATTCTGGATTAGTTGTAGTTTCCAGGTTGCATTCAAATGTAGCCCCATGTAGAGTGCATAGCAGTAGTCTAAGCGGGAGATAACTAGAGCATGCACCACTCTGGCGAGACAGTGCGTGGACAGGTATTTCATGCTAGCTCATCCTGAACTTGGAGGAGAAGCAGGAAGGAAGTTAAAGCCCAAAAGGAAGTAGTCTAATTTACCAACAAGGAGATTCTAAGAAAGGAAGAATCGGGGAGGAGAAAGGACAGGTTGCCTTTCTGTCTGTCGCTCCTCTACCTGTTCAGGTAAATCATTTCATGTGGTGTGGCTTAGTTTACACACCCAATCCTTGCTATGCCTGAGGACTGTCTGGGCAAGATCCAAAATGATCTTCCCACACAGGGCCACTGAGATCTCCCCTCCACCCCCCTCTGCCCCACGTTTTGCAGAACATGTTGAGAGCTGTTGAGATGGGGGTGGGGTGGGAATGCGTTGGATTGTTTGCAAACCTGCGGACGTGAGATTGTCTATACACCCACCCACCCACATTTTGCTTGATTTTTTAACATATCAGTTCCAACAGTCATACAACATATCTTAACATCTTATACAATATTTTTGACTTCCGTCAACCCCTCTGATGATTTTCCATTCTTTATCAATTATTCTGCATTTTTAAATTTCCTATTACACTTAATTATCCTTAACTAATAATTCTTTTCATAGTCTTTCTTTCAATATTTCAAATAATCCACCTTACAAAACTTCTTGCAGTCCTACTAGGTAATCTGTTCATCACAATTACTTTTCAGATAGTTCATATATTTACTCCAGTCTTCTAAGAATCTCTGATCCCACAGCTTTTGAATCCTTCCTGTTAATTTATCTAATTCTGCATAGTCTCGGACGTGAGATTGTCAATGGGGTCCACCCCGCTGGTAGAGAGTTGAGCAAAAGGGCAAGTCTTTTCTCCTCCCCGCGCCCCCCATCTGAAATATTGTGGCTCCTTCCATCACCCCAGGGCTCACGCCCAACCAGCAAACCAGCTGCTGCTGCAAGCCCAACATGAAATCCAGCAGCGATTCTGAATAATTGAAAACCAGTCGAGGGCTCAAATTCCAAGGCGTGCACATGTTAAACCCCCACCAGACTTGCGCCTGCACCTGCTTGTCGCCTTTCCTTCAACACCACCTGCCTGTTTCTGCTGAGTGTCTGCAAAGAAATCTTCCTATAACCTGAATTGGGAAGGACAACAATATTGTCCACCTTCTCCCTGGGGTTGCGAGTTCACCTGGTTGTGAAATCAGCACCCACACATTTTCAGGTCAAGGCAACAAATGCAGCTTGCAGTTCTCCAGATCAGGGTGTCAGCTGGCCGGCCAGCCCCTCTTGCAAGAGAGTCCATTCGGCTCTCGATAGTACGATAATCTTTATTGTCATTGTCCCATACAGAACAACGAAACTGAAAAAATCTACGTCAGACATTCAAAAACCCACAAGCCTGCTATCCCAGCCTGGTTAGCCCCCTAAAAACTCTGATACCCCATAATTAAATACAACATACTCCCGTAGAGACTACCTTACACTGCGTTTAAAACCCAAATCGCATTTGGATAGAAACTGTTTCTCAGGCGGCTAGTCCGAGTCTTTATAACCCTGGACCTTCTTCCAGAAGGCAGAAGCTGAAAGAGATCATTTCCGGGGTGCACACTATCCTGCGCTATCTCTGCAGCTTTCTTATGACAACTGGAAGCATAGATTTGATCCAAGGGGAGAAGAGAGCGCCCAATTCTTCTCTCTGCAGTCTTTACAACCCTGGACAGCATTGTTTTTCCCCTGACTGTGCAGCTCCCAAACCACACACACAGACCATAAGTTAATACACTCTCAACAGTACAGTGGTACCTCAGGCAGCGAGTGGCCCCAAGGCCATGGCTGAGAGGCGATTCAAACCCTGGTTCCCCACAGTTGTAGTCCAATATCCTGTCTGTTAAATCACACTGAGGCCCCGTCCACACTATACAGTGGTACCTCGGGTTACAGATGCTTCAGGTTACAGACTCCGCTAACCCAGAAATAGTACCGCGGGTTAAGAACTTTGCTTCAGGATGAGAACAGAAATTGTGCTCTGGCGGCACAGCAGCAGCAGGAGGCCCCATTAGCTAAAGTGGTGCTTCAGGTTAAGAACAGTTTCAGGTTAAGAACGGACCTCTGGAACAAATTAAGTTCTTAACCAGAGGTACCACTGTACAATGGTAAAATGCCATCAACAGGCCCTTGGAGAGATTGTTTTTCTGGAGGATTCTCTGAGAATTCTCTGTTGCTGCAACTCGGTTCGTAGTAGCGGAAGCTGTGGGAGTTTTGCAAAGCAAGACAAGGGGCGCCGCGGCGCTCCGTTTATGCATGTGGTCAAAATTTGCTTTTCTTCCTGCTGAGTTTTAGTTATCTCAGGTGGAACTGTGATTGCTTTTCTGAGCAGCCCTTAAAGGCCTGTGTCTGACAGGCACCAAGGGAAAAGGGGCTCCCTCTGAGTCTGGCAAATCTCTTCCTATCGATGACCCCATGATGGCACCTACTGGGAGCCACCTGCTGGCGCTGGAGACCAACTCCTCCTCGCTTTGCCTGATCTCCAATTGCAGCCCTTCCTGGCCTTTATTGAAAGCCTCCCTGGGCTGATGCTTCAGAGAGACAGAAGCCAATGCGAGGGATTAGTGCTAATTCCCTAACCTGAAAGCGAGGGGATGGAAAGACGGCGGAAAGCTCCTTAGCAGGGCTAAGACGGGGAGAGTTAGCCCTCGAACTCGTGGGCATCCAATGAAGGAAGCTGAATGCGGGAAGATTCAGGACGGAGGAAAGCAAGTCCTTCTTCGCGCATCTCAGAGATGAACTGTGGAACTCCCTCCCACCAGAGGTGGATTTCCCTTTCCATGGATTGTAGAGAGATTAGAACAGGTTAGATGGTGCCTTGCATGTCCTGCATTTTGGGTCTAGACCTTTCCCTCTTCTTCCCATCAAGGAGGATGAGGATGCTGTGAAGGCTCCACTCTTCTGTAGCATCTGGGCTGGCTGCCCCTCTGCTACGGAGCCAGGTTCACGGTCCTTGTATTAATTGACAAAGCCCTGAACAACTTAGGGCCTGGATGCCTCAAAGACCACCTGAATCCTTCTATCCCACCCTGGCAGGTTCGTCCGACTACAACATGAAATGCAGCAATTAGTGTCACCAGCCCAGTCCTGTGGAACTCTCTGCCACAGGAGATTCAGCAGGCACCTTCTGTTCCAATTTTTCAGTGCCTCCTGAAAACGTTTCTGTTCTGCCAAGTTTACGCGAGCAATTAAGAACAACCAGAATTCAGCGGCCGGGTTGCTCACCAGGGCAAGGCGATTTGAGCGTATTGCACCGATCCTGGCCCTACTGCACAAACTGCCAGTTTCTGGGCCCAAATCAAAGTGCTGTTTTTGACCTATAAAGCCTTAAATGGCTCAAAACCACAACACCTCAAGGACCGCCTCTCCCCATAGCAATCGACCCAGAACCTGAAATTGTCCAGTGGCTGTTCTTCACAAGAGGTCCAGAGGGTGGCAACACGAGAACGGGGCCTTTTCTGCAGTGGCTCCCCGCTTGTGGAGTACTCATCCCAGGAGGCTCACCTGCAGCCTTCATTATACACCTTTAGGTGTCAGACGAAAATGTTCCTCTTCTCCCAGGCCTTTGGCTAACTATACAACCTACAGCCTTTTAAATGTGTTTTCTGGGGGGTTGTATTTTTTTCTTTTCTTTTCCTACTGTTATAGCACGTATTTTGTGTTTTATGCCGTTAACCTCCCTGTGGTCTCTTGATGAAGGCTGGTATATATATTTAGTAAATGGCAATAACCACCTCTGCACAATAGTTAGCTGATTTCTGATTTTAGCATTCTTTTTCAATATGGTTTTCATGGTTCTCCTGTATGGCTGTAGTAAACTGCTGCGACAGCTTTTCCCCCATGAATTTCAGGATATAGATGTTTCATATAAGTAAAGGAGAGACTGACGCCTCCCCTTTCCCTGTATCTCCCTGTTAAAAGACAGATGCCATCGGCTGCCAAACCACCCCCCAGGCGGACTCGGAGGCAGAGGTGACAGGGCGTTCCTATGCCCGGGCGAACTGGCAGCGCCGCAGACCCGTGAGCTGCGTGGAGCCCAGGGCAGCTGGGGGTCCCTCTCCTGTCCCGCCAGGCGCCAACGGTTCCGCCGGGGATAACGAGGCTTGTGAGCAGCAGCTCCAGGAGAGTCTCCACCAGCTCCACCTGCAGGCCTCTCAGGGGAAGGGCAGCATCCCATCGGCGCCGGCAGACCCCTCCTGCCTGCTGACCCCGCCCAACACACCTCTGACCTTTGACCCAGCGGGCCTCGAACTCACCCCAGAGGCCACCCCCGGAAAGGCCACGGCGGACCCTCGGAGGAACGGCCTCAGCGGCACCAAAACCACGACCCTTGAAGGTAGGAAATGAAGAACACTTTCTGGGACAAGCGAGTTGAACCTTTCCAGGAAGGCTGTTATAATAACTGGGAGTGTGTTTCTGCCGAATTATTCTGTTGAGAGTTATTGCAAACTGTTACATCTGAATGGATTATCAAATACAGTGGAACCTCGGTTTTTGAACCTAAACCAGGCCAGACCAGCTTCCGAAAAGTTTGAAAACCGAGGATCAATGGGCTGGCTGCAAAGTGAAGGGAGAAAAATGAAAAACGCTGCTCAGCAGCTGTTTTGCTTCCGAAATTGTTCAAAAATGGAAGCATTCACTTCCGGGTTGTCGGCGTTCGGGTTCCAAATTGTTTGGCTTCCGAAGCGTTTAACAACTGAACTTTGTTGTATTTATTAGATCTGTAAATAGCAGAAAAACTAATCACATTGCAGTAATCTAGTATTGAAGCAGCAAAAACATGAACTGCTTGTGACCAGGAATGGCCATAGCTCTCAGACCAGGGACAGAGCTGGCTGCAGAAGCAACCCCCCAACTGCAAACTTGCTCCTTCAGGGGGAGGGCAACCCCATCCAGGGCAGCCGACGGACCACTTTCTTGGGCACAAGAGCGACGCAGTGCCTCCGTCTTGCTAGGATTCGAGCTCCGCTTGTTTTTCTTCACCCATTTTGCCCCTGAATCCACATGGTGATGCCCCGGCGTCTATGTGGCCTCGCCTGGTCTGGACACTGGTTTTGGTCTCCCCGTCCCACGTAGCAAGGGATGCTGGTCCCCGTGGCTTAAGCACTAACACTGCCCAGAATTCTCCAGCAAGTAAAGCAGGAGGGAGGGAGGCTCTAGCAGTAGCTTGGGGTAGTTTTCTACATGTGGGGAGGTTTTTTCTCTCCCCCCAAAATGGGACCTGCCACCCTGCAGGCTGAAGTGATGCCAACCTCTCAGGAGGCGCTGGCGCACTAGGGCAGATGGGGTGCTGCCTCACCAACCCGCCTGCCCTATTCAGTAATAGCCAAAGGCAACACGACGACCAAGTACAATGATGCGATGTCAATATAAACTCCTCATATAATCTCTACAGAGCATTAAACAATATGAAATATGCACTCTCTGCAAAACCAAATAAACAGAAATCTTCTAAATCTCTGAAAGTCACAAATTATGCACTCTTGATGGATTCTCTTGAAAACATAGAACCAAATAAGCACAAGTCTTATAGGTCTCTGAAAGTCTTTGTGGGCTATGCAAGTCTCTGAGAGAAGCAATAGGTCAGATTCTTATCTGGTGAAAACAAGCTGTAAATGTTAATAGTAATATTACTATTAATGGAATGTATAGGCCTCCCTTCACCTGAGGATCCGTCTCAGTGATTCCCTTGTAGAATTCACCAGGGAGGAGAAGGAGGAAGATGGGGGGGCAGTCGGGACTAGAATTCGTTGGCTTTGCTTGCCGTTGGCTCTGGCACCCCCTGGTGGTGGGCTCCCTGCCTCCTGCCCTACCAGTTGCCTTCTAGGACTCTTGCCTAGGCTTGCTTTGCAAGAGCTGTGGCTCACGAGGCAAGCCCATCGGTGGGCAGAGCCCGTCCACGTTGGAATTGCAGCTCCTGGGAGGGAATTGGAGGTAGACGGGAGTCCATTTCAGTTGCCAAATCCTCTCCCAACCTTCGGCAGCAAAATGCAGAGTGTTACCACCTTGTGCTCCTGCCTCTGAGTCACTGGGTGGAAGCAGCTGGGAGCAGCCCTTGCCAAGTCCATTGGCAGCTCCAGCCTTGGGTTGGGCTTGGTGGCTTCTGACGCTTGGCCTCTGAGATCCCATTTATTTCACAAAAACAGCCGCACTTTGAGGGCTCGCTGCAGCCTGCGCAAGCTCCCAGCGCTGGTTGTGTGCACTTGGTCAGAAGGTCCTTGCAGTTTAAATGTGATTTACAGCCGATTTACCATACTGCTGACAGCAGCGAAAGAGTGTATTGCTCACAGAAATGGGAAAATAAAGACTATTGACCACTGGGTCAGGAAAACCTGGCCAACAATAAAAGTTACATATGAGAGAAACGCTTGCTGGATCCTCACGGGCGTTTGGTTGGCCACTTGGAGAACACGACGCTGGACTAGATGGGCCCTGGGCCTGATCCAGCAGCCTCTCCTTAAGTTCTCGTATTTAGAAGGTGTTGCTTGCGAGGAACAGACAGGCTCACAAACCGCCTTCCTTCTGACCCCAGGCTCTTCGCCAACGCCCTACGACTTTCCAACGCCAGCCTCTTCGAGCCGCAGCTCGGCCGCGGACGATTTTTGCTACGTCTTCGTCGTGGAGCTGGAAAAGGGGCCCATCGGCTTGGGAATGGGGCTGATCGATGGCCTGGTGAGTTTCTCGCTCTCCCAGCTTCAGTCGCTTTCGGTCTGCTGCCAAAGAAGGGCTGGTAGGGAAAGCTGCGCAGATGGAGAGGTACATAGCTCCTGGCCATTGTCCATGCTGGGACCAAGGGGAATTTGGCCAAGAAAATCTGGAGGGCACCCCTACCCCACCCATGAGCCAGCCCTAGTCCATGCACAGAGTAGTGTCAGGTCTCCAGGGTTTCAGCCCTGCTTGGAGACACGAGGGATTGACCCTCTGGCATGCAAAGTACACCCCCTGTCCCTGAGCTACGTCGAGCTTCTTCCATGTGCTAAAATGGTCCCTGGCAAACTTCTTAGGAAGGCCTCTGGTTGTGTTGCACCAGGGCGTTTATGCTCTCTGTGCTCCTTCCAGCGGTCATTCCTCTGTGGGTCACTGCTGCGGATGCACAACCCGATCGATTTTCACCAGGCACTGCGGTCGTCTGCAAGGGACAGGGGTTGATGTTGTCATGTTTGCAGTAAAATAAATAAGGCGGTGTGGCGATCACACAGGGTCCCCGGACGTTTAACGGTCTGTTGATCCCTATGCCACCACCGTGCTCACTTCCCCGCTGCCACCAACCCGTCACTCTCTGGTAAAACACTGAGTCCAGTCAGTTGTTAAAAGTGGACCAAAAAAACAAGTTTATTTTACAGACATTAACAAGTTTATGGTTTCTCAGATAATATTCCTGTCAGTATCTTAACTTTAGTTTCTTTACCGGCCTATACCTTCCTAATACCTTCTGACTGATTATCTCAACTGTTTGACTGACTCCTCTTAACAAATTCTCTCCCTCTCTCACACCAGACTAGCCCAACCCACAGACTTTTCTTATCCGTCTCTTCTAACTCCAGACTGTCTTCTCAACAACTCTAACTCTACTCCCCCCAAAAAACCCCTCTGTGCTTAAACCTTATACACAGTTAACTCTGCCCCTTGGGTTCCCATGGGTTAGTCATTTTACAATTAGTTAACCCTTTCCTTATGAACCCAGTATGATGTCACACACCTAGGAGGGCAAACGCCACAGGCGGGTCTTTGGGTGGCGTCAAATCCCAGGGCAAAGAGGAAGCTGTGCAGTGAAGGCGCCTGGTGCCCCTCTCCAGGGAGGGAGTCCCACAGCTGGGACAGTCCCACAGCGGGGCCACCACAGAGAAGGCCCTCTCCTAGGTCACCACCCCCTTCTGAGCCTCTGAGGGCAGAGCCAGGAGGGGGTCCTCCACCATAGCACCCGAGGGAGTCTGGAGGGGAGAGGGGACCTTTCAGGTCTTTGCATCCCGAGTTGTTTGGGGCGTTAAACACCCGACAGGAGTCCCTTGAATTGAGCCTGGAAACGAACTGCCAACCAGTTGCAAGAAGGGATGGCAAGAAGGCAGCCCAGGAGTTTCTCAGTGAGACTGTCCAATGTTGGGCTCCTGCAAACGCCTCCATCCATTGGCGAGAGAGCTGGCTTTGACCTCTCTGCCTCTGACTCCCGCTTTGCCTTCTCTCCCCCCATCCTCTTCAGCACACGCCCTTGAACTCCCCCGGGATCTACATCCGGACCCTGATCCACGACAGCCCTGCAGCAGCAGACGGGAGGCTCTCCATTGGGGACCGGATCCTAGCTGTCAACGGCACGAGCCTCATTGGCTCTGATTACCAGAGGTAGGGAAAGAGGAGGGAGGCTTAGTGGGGGGGAGGGGCTGCAAGGTGGACCCCCGATTATGTGGCTCAGCGGAAGGCTGCATCCTGCTTTCTCGCTCTCACCCACTCTTTCTGATGGGCTTTCCCCTCTCCCTGCTCCCCTTCTTCTTTCAGTGCCGTCGACCTCATCCGATCGGGGGGCAAGAAGCTGCGATTCCTGGTGGCCAAATCGGACCTGGAGGCTGCCAAGAAAATCAGCTTCAGCTCCTCACCTTCCCCTTAAAATAAAAGAAGAGGTGCCTCCGAAACAGCTCTCCTGGGTTCTCCAACAGTGCAAGCTGCATCAGGCACAAGGGATCGGGGCCGTGGGCATAGCCTAGGGAGACTTCTTGCAATGGGGCATCCCGGCCGCAGGCTCCCACCAGCCCCTCGGAAGTGCCTGCAGGCAGCAACATCAGACTACGCTGGCCTCAAAAGCAAACTCTGCTCTCCCAGCTCTGGAACCGTCAAGATGGTTTGAATTGCTGCCGTCTCAGAGTCAAAGGCTGGGCTTCGCTCTTGCAGACATCAGGTGCCAACAGCTAGCGACTTAAAGAGAGGCGGCGCTGCCCCATTGTGGCTGCCTGCTCTCATTGCAACTAGAGAATTTCGAGACCAGCTGTTTGTGCACCCAGCATGGATGGGACCTTAGCCTTGCAGCAACATCCCAAGCCCTCGACTGCTGCCTCTGCTGCAAAAACATCTGGGAGAAAATGAGCCCATTGTTGCTTAGTTACCTGCTAATGCACAGGCCCAGGGGGAAGAAGCTGCCGTGGGCAAGCTAAGATGAGGGTGCAAAGTAAGGCAGGGTGGGGAGCCCACACAGCATGACCGGTTTCTCTGCACTGGGCACCGCAACTATGAGATAGTACATGTGCAGGATGAGAGGGGGCCCCTGGAGCCTGACACTCGCTCGCTGTTGCTGAACTACAGTTCCCATCATCCTGACAGGGGCTGATGGGAGTCGGAGTCCGCAGGATGCCTGAGGCCTGGAGCAAGGGAGAAAAGCTAAACCCATGAAGTCCCAGAGAGGGGAAACGGATGTCAGGCAACAGAGAGAGATGGGAGGCTGGGAACACGTTCCAGATGGGCGGGGTATAAATAAAATTATTATTAAAGGGGCCTCACAGCCAGCCCCTCCCCTCCCCATTTATGGCTATTGGCCACCCCAAATGCACACCTCTATCAAACCTAAGACCCAGTGATGGACAGACACAGGGACTTTAGCGGATGGCCCTAAATCTGGCAGGATTCCTCCAAATTTGCTGGGCTTTCTCAACACCTGCTTAAGAAGTGCATGTGAGAGCCATGCCAGCTGCAACAGACCTAGTCTACGTCTCCAAGCCCAGGAGCCTCTCTCTGAATCGCGGCTGGGCAAGACGCCTTCTTCAGGGAGCTCCCAAGGAAGACCGTGAAGGCAGCCGCTCTCCCTGCAGCCGGCATTCAGCAGCTCAACTGCCTCTGAGCAAGGAAGTTCGGCAGGGCTGCTGTAGCCAATAGCCAATCCATCTTCCTCGAATGAACTTGGCCCTTTTCAAATGGACAAGCTCTTGCCACATCCCATGGTAGTTCCACTTATTATGGCCGCAAGAGCTACGGTGCCCACAGTCCTTTGTGTGTCGGGCGGCAGATCAGGAAAAGAAACCAAAATACGCCAATGATTCAAGCAAAGTTTCATCGGTGGTCCCATTCACGCAGGGAGACTTTATCTCATTTACACAGGACCCCCTCCATACCCCGATGAACAGGAGAAGCTTCCGTTTTCTAGGCGAACAGTATTAAAGCAGCATTTATCTCAAGCCGAAAGACAAACATTTTCAATCCCTTCTGCCGGGATGAACGTCCTCGGTTCACTGGGCTGAAAGACAGCTGTTTTTCACCCTGGATTGCGGAAGGGCGACAACCTTTGTTTGTTAATACTGTGCATCTTTTTAAAAAAATAATAATAATGTATATATAGTTACAGTATTGCAGGCGATGTGATAAAGAACGAGGCCAGGGACAAAGGGCCGGTATGTCCAGGCTCCTTTCCTCTGGGTTAAATAACTGGATACAGTAAAACTAGCAACCGTCGTAACAAGGGTTGGCAGCCGTGTCTCATTCTGGGCTCTGTGTTCATTTTTGCAAAAGGGAAGGCAAAGGAGTGCCGGGAAGGGGAACACCATTCACACAGAGTCAAGAGGCGCACGGTTGCAGAGCAGGCCGGCAACTTACAGGGAGGTTACATTTACAGCGGTTTGTGCACAAAGGCAGAATTGCGCCCAGTCCGGAAAACGCCCAGTGCGACGATCCCTACCATATAGCGGCCTGGAAATGTCACGCAAGGACTCTGGAAGGCTGCGAGGGGCTCCAAAGACCTTGCACGACCTTCCCAGAGCCTGGTGTCAGCAAGACGGGGGGGCCTGAAAATGCCTCCTGCCAGAGGAAAACTCCGTGCAGAAAGAGATGCTGGGCCAGATGGGCCACTGGCCTCATACCGGCAGCTATTATTAGGTTGCACTATATCAGAGGTGGGTGGCGCTGCGGTCTAAACCACAGAGCCTAGGGCTTGCTGATCGCAAGGTCAGCCGTTTGAATCCTCACGACGGGGTGAGCTCCCGTTGCTCGGTCCCTGCTCCTGCCAACCTAGCAGTTCAAAAGCACATCAAAGTGCAAGTAGATAAATAGGTACCACTCTGGCGGGAAGGTAAACAGCGTTTCCGTGTGCTGCTCTGGTTCGCCATGATGGCCACTTGAACCGGAAGCTGTACGCCGGCTCCCTCGGCCAACAAAGCGAGATGAGCGCTGCAACCCTGGAGTCGGCCATGACAGGACCTAACGGTCAGGGGTCCCTTTACCTTTACATCACAGGTAAAAGGTTGGACACGGGTGGCGCTGTGGTCTAAACCACTGAGCCATTTGGGCTTGCTGATCAGAAGGTCGGCGGTTCGAATCCCCACGACAGGGTGAGCTCCTGTTGCTCGGTCCCAGCTCCTGCCAACCTAGCAGTTCGAAAGCATGCAGTGCAAGTAGATAATAGGTACCGCTCCGGCGAGAAGGTAAACGGCGTTTCTGTGCGCTCTGGCTTCCATCATGGTTTCTCGTTGCACCAGAAGTGGTTTAGTCATGCTGGCCACATGACCCAGAGAGCTGTCTGTGGACAAATGCCGACTCCCTCAGCCTGAAAGCAAGATGAGCGCCACAACCCCACAATCGCCTTTGACTGGACTTAACCATCCAGGGGTCCTTTACCTTTTACTATATCAGACCATCTAGATAGCATTGCTGAGAATCGCAGCAGGGCAGAGGGGTCTTGGGCGCAGCTCCCGCTTGCGGGCTCCCCATCGGGGCATCTGGTCGGCTATGGTGAGAACAGGATGCTGGACTAGAGGGCCAACTGGCCTGATCCAGCAGGCCCTTCTGGTGTTCTGCTGAGGTCAACGCCATTAACGCTGGTTGGCAATGGCTCTCCTGGGTTTCAGGCTGGGAGCCTGCAGATTCTAAGGACTGCACCTGACACCTTCAGCCGGGCTGAGACCCCTGACTTTTCTGAATTGGCTCAAGCTAAGGAGAGCTGGGGGAAAGTAATGGGGGACTGGCTCAGAGTTGCCCGTGGGGCTAGCTGAGAGTGCAGAAACGCCCCAAACCCTTTGCTGCTCCAAGGGAGTCCAGAGACTCAGACCCCAAAGATGGAGCCGGGAGCCTTCTGCCCCTGGAAGTCTGCTTTCTGAGGCAGCAGATCAAGAAGCAAGCTTGCACTGCGCCTGGCTATGCCAAATCAACATTTTATTCATAGGGAAGCCCAGATCCAACAATACTGATTACAGGGTTGTGGAAAGAAGTCTGCAAACTGTTTGCCCAGTTACAAGCACAGGACAGGCAAATTGAAGCACCTGAGAAGTCAGAGAAGGGAGGCAGAATCGCCCCAAACAATGGGGAAGGCAAAAATTAAGCCGGTTTTCGAAAAGGAAATTGCTCGACTTGGCCAATTTCATTCCTTCGCCCACAAACCTTCCCTAGAGAGACTCCCTCCACCCTGTTGGTGGGGGGGTTCCTGTCCCACACCCTCCCAAACTCTGCCTGTGCCTCTGGCAGCCCCCTGCAGCCAACAGTCCTTGACGATACGTTTCCATCTGAAGGACTCAGCCAGGAACGGAGCTTGCTCCCCTCTCCAGAATCTGGCTGGCTGCCTTCATGGCGAGAGGCAGGGAAACGTTTGTGTCGCGGTGGAACCGGGGGCTCGAGACCTCGGGGGACGGGGTCAGCACAAACTGAGCCACACTGGGCATCTTCAGCAAGTTCATCAGCTCCGTGGCCCGGGTCAGGATGGCCTCCGCGTCCTCGGGGCTGTAGGTGGAGGAGACGGCTGGGTTCTGGATGAAGGTCCGCATCTTGGACAAGAAGAGGGACACCCTGTGGGGAGACACGGGGAGAAGAGCGGGGCTGAGCCACCTCACAGGAGAGGGCGGGAAGGAGAGCACCCCTCGCTCCCTGAGGTTTTGGGGCAGGGAGAAACAGGTTTCCCGCTGGAGTCACTGGGGCTGTGGGCTCCAAACCTGGTCACCTGCCATCTCCAACATATCCTGCACACCTCACCCAGGTAAGGGGTTCTGGGGAAGTTAAGCAAAGCGTTTTGGGGGGAAGGCAAAGGAAGTACTTCACACTAGCAAATAGTTGAACTACGGAACTCACTGCCACAAGAGGCAGTGATGGCCATTAATGTGGGATTAGGCAAACTAGGCAAGGCTAATAATGGCTACTAACCATGGCTAAACCACAGAGCCTAGGGCTTGCCGATCAGAAGGTCAGCGGTTCGAATCCCCCCGACGGGGTGAGCTCCTGTTGCTCGGTCCCTGCTCCTGCCAACTTAGCAGTTCGAAAGCACGAACTGCAAGTAGATAAATAGGTACCGCTCCGGCGGGAAGGTAAACAGCGTTTCCGTGTGCTGCTCTGGTTCGCCAGAAGCGGCTTAGTCATGCTGGCCACATGACCCGGAAGCTGTACGCCGGCTCCCTCGGCCAGTAAAGCGAGAGGAGCACCACAACCCCAGAGTCGGTCACAACTGGACCTAATGGTCAGGGGTCCCTTTACCTTTACCTTTACCCATGGTGGCTGTGCTGGTTTGCCCCAGACTACCAGCCACTGGGAAACGTGAGGGGGGAGAGAGCACCTCTGTGTTCATGCCGGTTTCCCATAGGTCTCCACCGTGGGGACCGGCTGCTGGGCGAGATGGGCTTTGGCCAGACTGAGCAGCCAGACTTCTCTGGGGTTCTAAGGACCAGAACTGAGTTGGGAGGGAGGACTCGGGTCCAAAATCCTACGAAGCAATTCACTGGCCACACCTGTCAGTCCAACAGGGTCTCATTCAGGGTGGCAGGTTCAAGCTTTGCAAAGGGGAACTTTGTATTTTACCGTGGAAAATGGCAGCAGCTCAGCCAGGCAAAGGAAAATGCCAAGTCTCTGAGCATATGCTCAGCCTAGGAATTGGTGGTCCAAGTCATGGAGGTACCGTATTTTTCGCACCATAGGGCGCACCGGACCATAGGGCGCACCCAGTTTTTAGGGGGGGAAATCAAGAAAAAAAATATTTCCCCCCCCCCAGCCCCAAAGAGCAGCGTACAGGCTGCACACAACCTCTCCCTGCCAGAGGGGTTGCGCGCAGCTATGGAACAAGCCAAGCCAGCGAGCGGGATGGATCCCGCTCGCTGTTTTGGCTTCCCCTTTAGCCCCGTGCAGCCTCTCCTTGCCGGGAGACGCTGCGCAGGGCTAAAGAAGCCATAGCCCCGTGCAGCCTCTCCCTGCCGGAGGGGTTGCGCGCGGCTATGGCACAAGCCTGCATTCGCTCCATAGGACGCACACACATTTCCCCTCAATTTTTGGAGGAGAAAAACTGCATCCAATAGAGCGAAAAATACGGTAAGTTTTATCACAACAAAACCCCACAAGCTTCTGGCAATTTTTTGGGAGGGAATTTGAAGCTGTTGCTATTGCTTTTACAACTGGAAGGCAAAAATCCTTGCAAACCACCTGCCACTAAATCCAGATCTGGTACCAGCTGGCCAGTAGGGCTGTGTTACTGACCAGGCTTTGCTGCCGATGAGCAAGAGGGGGAGAGGCAAGGCACAGGATAGCACCCATGGGATCTGCCTCCTGATCACCACCCCAAGTCTAGGTGGCTGCCAGTGGATTAGCAAAACAGCAGGTCTTTCTCACTACCTAAGATGCTGGGACTTTTCACATCAGCACTCCCCAACCTGGCTGGGGCTGATGGAAGTGATACTCCAAAACAGGGGTAGGCAAACTAAGGCCCGGGGACCGGATGCGGCCCAATAGCCTTCTCAATCAGGCCTGCGGACGGTCTGGGAATCAGCGTGTTTTTACATGAGTGGAATGTGTCCTTTTATTTAAAATGCATCTCTGGGTTATTTGTGGGGCATAGGAATTTGTATATTTCCCCCCCAAAAATACAGTCCAGCCCACCACATGGTCTGAGGGATGGTGGACCGGCCCACGGCTGAAAAAGGTTGCTGACCCCTGCTCCAAAACTTCTGGCCCAGGCTGGGGAAAACTGCTCTCCTTTCAAGCGGTGGGTGCTTCCCCACCAAACTGCACCCCAACCATATCAAGCTGGTGTCTAGGGCACAATATACTGCCAGGTCAAACATTATGAAAGCGATATCACAGTAGGGACTTCAAACTTGTTTTGGACAATATCATCCAAAACCAGTTTGAAGTCCATACTGTGATATCACTTTCATAATTTTTTACCTGGCAATATATTGTGAAGAAGAAGAAGAAGAAGAAGAAGAAGAAGAAGAAGAAGAAGAAGAAGAGGAAGAAGAAGAAGAAGAATTTTATTTCCCCCCTGTCCATCTGGCTGGGGGCATAGCTATGCAAAAATCACAATCACAATGGGGGGGGGGACGTGATGTCAGCCAATGCTTCACTCGATTCCTGCAAACTCGGCTGTCCCCCGCCTCAGCGAATCACAAGAGCAGGCGCTGTCTAGGGCACAATATATTTCCAGGTCAAAAATTATGAAAGCATTATCACAGTATGGACTTCATACTTGTTTTGGACAATATATCAATATATCGTCCAAAACCAGTCGATATTGTGATACCGCTTTCATAATTTTTGACCTGGCAGTATATTGTGGTGAAGGAGGAGGAGGTGGAGGAGAAGAAGGAGAATTTTATTTTTACCCTGCCCATCTGGCTGGGAGCATAGCTCTGCAAAAATCACAATGTGGGGGGAAACGTGAAGTCAGCCAATGCTTCACTTGATTCCTGCAAACTGTTGGCTCGGCTCTCCCCCGCCTCAGCGAATCACGAGAGCAGGCGCTGGCAGAAATCACGCTGCAGGAAAAACCGTGAAGCCAGCCAACGCCTCTATATAGCTCCATCCTTATATTGTGATATATCGGTATAAAACTAGACGTTTAGCTGGCGACATATCACAATGTTGAAAACCAGACGTCGCCCAGCCCTAACGGATGTCCTCGTCAGTTCTTACCAGGTGCGCATACGCAAACCAGAGCGGACGGTAAGTCCTGCTCTCCCCCCCCCATCTGCCCCCCGGGTTCAAACCTTGGGATCAAGTCCTGGCTGCGAGATGCCAGCTTGGTGAGTGCAGTCATGAGGACGGCGATGGCGCGAGGAGAGTATTTGGGGATGCTGGCCAAGGGCCGCAGCTGGGTGATCTCGAAGAGCATGGCCTCAAGGACTTCGAAGAACCTGTTGATCTGCTCCACCGTGCAGCGCTTGTCGTGCGCTACGGACGCGTACTCCCCAATGGTCCACACCTGTGGGAAGGGACACTCCTTCAGAGCGGGGCATACGTACCTCATTACCTCACAAAGGGCTAGAATCGTGAGAGGGAAGCAGCAGAGAAAGCCTGCGGGACCCTAGGGGTGGGCGAACTAACCAGGAATCAACTCGCCTGCACCTGGTGCCGCCTCCTCTGTCCCTGTCCAGGGAGAGATCAGCAGTTCTCCTTAGGAGAAAAGGAGGAGACACTGGAAACCAGGAGGAGTTTTCGGAGGGTAAGAGCTGTTTTGACAGCAGAACCAACTTCCTAGGAAGGTGGAGGTGCTCTCCTTCCTTGGAGGTTTTTAAACAAAGGTCGAGTGGCCATCTGTCAGGGGTGCTTTCATTGAGATTCCTACACTGTAGGGGCTTGGACTAGATGACTCTTGTGGTCCCTTCAAACTCCACAATTCTATGATTCTAACTCTCCTGGGCCTCAGGCATAACTCTGCAGGCCATTCTGCCTGGACACTGAGGTCCAGCTCTGAGGGCCTTCTAGCGGTTCTCTCGCTGTGAGAAGCCAAGTTACAGGGAACCAGGCAGAGGGCCTTCTCGGTAGTGGCGCCCGCCCTGTGGAACGCCCTCCCACCAGATGTCAAAGAGAACAACAACAATAACTACCAGACTTTTAGAAGACATCTGAAGGCAGCCCTGTTTAGGGAAGCTTTTAATGTTAAATAGGTTATTGTATTTTAATATTCTGTTGGAAGCCACCCAGAGTGGCTGGGGAAACCCATCGGGGCCGCTGGATTCCCATTAGCCCCAGCCAGCCCTGCTGAACCCACTAATCAGGGATAATAATAATAATAAATTTTATTTATACCCCGCCCTCCCCAGGCAAGATGGGGCTCAGGGCAGCTAACACCAGATATAAAGCAATTGATTAAAATACAACTTAAAAACAAGATTAAAATACAACATTAAAATGCAGCCTCATTTCAGTAGAAACTCAAATCAAAAACTTTTGGGGGCTGAAAACATCAACTCTTCACCAAGGCCAACTATCCAGACTGGTCCTACATGGGCCAGAAAAAAGCCAGGGAAGTCCCCAAATAGGAGTTCCATCGCAGAAGGAGGAAGGATAGAGGGGAAGGGGATCAAGTTGATTCCAAGCCAAAGGCCAGGCGGAACAAGTCTGTCGTACAGGCCCTGCGGAAAGAAATCAGATCCCACAGGGCCCTGGTCTCATGAGTGTTCCACCAGGCCAGAGCCAGTGCTGAAAAGGCCCTGGCTCTGGCTGAGGCTATTCTGACTTCCTTAGGGATGATGGGAGATGGAGTCTAGCAACATGTGGAAGGCCAGCAGGCTCCCCTCTCCCGGCATCAGTATCCCAGATGGGAATGTAGGGGTGGGGGTTGTCCTACCCGCCAGGGCAAGTGGCTTTCTGCTTACCACATCAGTGAAGAGGTCCTCTTTGCTCTGAATGTTGGTGACCGTTCCTGAAAACTCCAAAAGCTGTGGGGACAGCTCCACCACCAGCGAAGGGTGCAGCTTGCACAGAATCGACAGCTGGGAGCTCATCACCCTGGTAGGGAAAAGAGAACAGCTGGGGTGACCAGGGGTTCTCTGCAACCCAGAGAGCAAGGCTTCCAAAACAGCGTTTGAGCCACTTTCTGCTTCTGAATAGGCGTTTGGAGTGGGCTCTGGGAGTGGCTGTCGCGGCAGTAGAGGCCTTGCCACAAAGACTTTGATGACACCAGGAGAGCAGGCATAAGTTAGGGCTGCAACGCCAAAGGGATTCATCTGTTGGACTTGCTCCGTCAAAACACCCTCAGATCAGCTAAAAGTTTGCTCTTGATTTATTTGGCAGGGCAGGTTTTTTTAAATGCATTTTTTTTGTAATACAAATGTGTATAATGTAGATGAAATTCTTGGGAACTGTATTTCTGGGGTGGTTTTGTATGCCTGCTTTCTCTTGTTTTTTAATGCTTACTTTAAACTGCATTTATATGCTGGAGGGATTGATTTTATTCACTTTTGTAAGTGCTACCCTGGAACCTTTGCATAAATGGCAGCTAGGAAAAATTTAAATTAAGAGACCTGAACTTAAAAAAGAGAGACATTCTTTCCTTTTCTCTTGTGTGCACAGGAAAGAAGGCCTCTGAAGATGCACACAATATTAAAGCAAAGAGAGCTGGTGTCTCGCATCAGAAATGCCTTTCTTTCTTTTTTTACACCAATATGCAAATTTAATGCCAGACAGTCTCGTGTGGTTAATCAATTAACGCTTCTTTAGTCAAGTTGCTGCCCTGGCATTTTCTCAAGGGCCACCTCTTCTTCCAATCAATCATCCTCAGACTTTTCTTATCCAAAGGCACTACTGTCTCCATGGTTCACAATGCTTTTTTTTTTAAAGCTGTTTATCGGCTTGGTAATGACATAAGAACATGAATGGAGCTGGTTTTTTCCTCTCTCCATTCCCATCATTTTTTTCTTTGTGTGTGTCATGTCTTAAAGAGATTGCAAGCCTGGAAGTAGAGACTGTCTTACTACTGATTTTTGTAAGCCACTTGGGGAGCCTTTTCAGCTAAGGAGTACTCGGTCAGAACAGTGTCAGTAGTTCAGTTGCAATGTAATATACACATCACTTGGAAACCAAGCCTTTAGCGTCACCTGCGTCCTGTGGAACTCTCTGCTACTAGAGGTTCAGTAGACAACTTCTGTCTCAACTTTTAAATGCTTGCTTAATTTTTTTTCTAGTCCGTCATGCCTAAGCAGGCAATATACCTTTCCACAGTAAGTTAGCTGATTTCTGATTTAAACTTTTTTATATGGTTTTTATCAAATGAGTTTTGTGTGCCATTGCTGTAATCTGCTCCAATTTTTTTTTAAAAAAAAGAATTAGCAGTAAATAAATATTTTTATAAATAAAACAAATGAATAGACCACTTTCTACCAGACTTGGGATAGAAACGTAAGCAACCAATAGTTCAGGGCAATGAACAGAAAGATAATATCCCAAGAGGAACCTTGACTGTAAGGGACAATCTGTATCAAATCAGAAAACCGCTCCATTGGAGAGAAAGGCTCAAGGAGAAACTCCCCAGCCTGGAGATGGTAGATTTTGCCCTCTCCCCACCTGAGATGATGCGTCTGCACTCACCTGTACACCTCTGCCTTGAAAGCCGGGATTCCATAAAGCTGTTCGCTCCTCTCCAGGATTGCCAGAACCAGCTTGTTTGCAAGAGCCCCATCTGCAAACTGGAGAAGAAGGAAGAACAGGACCGTTCAGTGCCTTAACTCAGCGAAGGAAGATCCGCGAATCCCGGAGAATCCCGGGCCCCTGCGTCCTGCACTCATCCCATCGCCTGCTACAACAAAGATCTACTGAGCAGATCTGCCACCCATCTGCATTTTGAAAAACATCAAGCAACACATAGGCTAATAGTTTATTGACAATATTTATATAACACTATCAAACTGTTTCAAAATTCATAGATAGAAGACGTGTAATATGTGCAGGGAGTCACAAACTAATAAGAGTCAAGTAACTATTCCATAAGCAGAATGATTAGAATGGTATGTCACTATAAAGCATGACCGAAATTGAGGCTGAACACCTTTCCACAGTACATATCAGATCCAAAATGTTGTCGAGAGTGAGCTGGAGCATGGTGGTGCTATAAGAACAGATTAAATACAGGCCTGTCATTTCAATCTCTGTATTGTATTTGAATGTAATGGATTTCATTTTATATTATTGCCAGCTGATGAAGAATTATCATTGAAAAAGTTCATTATCCTGGAAGAACTGTTTTGTCTGCTGCTGTGCTTGGAGCACCCTTTTGTGACGTTTGGAGCACCTACCATCTCACTTCTGGGTTGCTGTTCTTATACATTTGGATCTGATATTTACTGTGGAAAGGCATTCAGCCTCAATTTCAGTCATTCTTTATAGTGACATACCATTCTACCAATACAGATTTGGGAGGAGGGAAGGAACCTAGATACAGTGGTGCCCCGCAAGACGAATGCCTCGCAAGACGAAAAACTCGCTAGACGAAAGAGTTTTCCGTTTTTTGAGTCGTTCCGCAAGACGAATTTCCCTATGGGCTTGCTTCGCAAGATGAAACGTCTTGCAAGTTCTTGCGAGTTTGTTTCCTTTTTCTTAAAGCCGCTAAGCCGTTAATAGCCGCTAAGCCGCTAATAGCCGTGCTTCGCAAGACAAAAAAACCGCAAGACGAAGAGACTCGCGGAACGGATTAATTTCGTCTTGCGAGGCACCACTGTACCTAAGCACTGGATGCACTTTTGACGTTTGCATTTTTAAAGCCCTAGTTTAAAACCTTCACTGAAGAAGGCGTATAGGAGGATATGCAACTGGAACAGATCCTTGCCGGGGGGGAAGCAAACCTTACCTCGGCTACGACTCCAAAGTAGAGCTGCAGTAAGACAGGGACACTCTCCGCACACTGCACCACGCGAGGGGAACTGGCCATGGATCCCAGGAGCTGGCGGATGGGAGTCAACCTGGGGGGGGACGGGACCACAATGGAAGAACCCAGAAGAGCATCAGAAGAGTCTGGCTGCAGCTAGATCAGACCAAAGGGGCAAATATCTGAAGGGCCGTCACATGGAGGAGGGAGCAAGCTTGTTTTCTCCTGCTCTGGAGGGCAGGACTCGAACCCATGGCTTCAAGTTACAAGGAAGGAGATTCCGACTGAACATCAGGAGCAGTAAGAGTTGTTTGACAGTGGGACAGATTCCCTCAGGGGTTGTGGACTCTCCTTCCTTGGAGGTTTTTAAGCAGAGGCTGGATGACCATCCGCCATGGATGCTTTAGCTGAGATTCCGGCATTGCAGGGGGGTTGGACTAGATGACCCTCAGGGTCTCTTCCAACGCTTAAGATTCTATGATACAGCACCAAGGATAACCATCAACACATCCAGGAGGGAGTGCAGGAAGTCAGTTTCGGAAAAACGTTAAATTTGTTCAGATTTGGGGAAACGTCTATTTGTTTCAATTTAATTTGTTTTAATTAGTGACCAATTTGGACAAAAAAAATGAAAATCATTAAGAAAAAGATTTGCCACAAAAAACCCCACAACCACAACAGTACTTTGATTATATCATAAGATGCCTTGGGAACTTTGTTTAGCGGGCAAGGTATGAGTACCCCCAAAATAGACAGCATCAAATAAAGTAAGAAGAGCAGCTTGTCTCAGGGACGGCCTCTTACCTGCCAGGGTCTCCGGGAGCCGACTCGACCCGAAGGAGATACTGGAAGAGGGCTCTGTAGTCCGGGTGGCGGTAAGCTTCCAGGCAGGTGGCTGGTTTCAGAGAAGGGTCCACAGGAGTCCTCTCAGGAAGGGGAGTCAGGGCAGACCTAGCAACAGACGAAAAGCCCACACGCACCTTGATCAAAAGCACTGTCCGTTAAAAATGTGGAGGAATCTGGCCACAAGAAGCCCCCACTTCTTCCTACAAGCCTGTAAAGGCATATTAGCTCAGCCTTGCATTTAAGGATGAGCTTTTTCCATTTTAACTGATCAGCCGCCTTGAGTCCTGGTCTGGGTATAAATAAATATAAAATAGGACAGTGGTACCTTGGTTCTCAAACGCCTTGGTTCTCAAATGCCGAAAACCCGGAAGTACGTGTTCCGGGTTTCTAAGCTTTTTCGGAAGCCGAACGTCCGATGTGGCTGTCGGCTATTGTTTCCGGGGCACCTGCACCAATCAGAAACTGCACCTTGGTTTTCGAACGTTTTGGAAGTCAAACGGACTTCCGCAACGGAATAAGTTTGTTGCTTTTGTTTTTGCTATTTATTTTGCGTTTTTGTTTTTGAGGCTTTTCGGTTAATTTGTTTTTGTGACTGTGTGGAACCCAGTTCATCTACTGATTGACTGACTGACTGAATGATTGATTGTCGAAACAAAATAAAAAAATTCCTTCCAGTAGCACCTTAGAGACCAACTAAGTTTGTTATCGGTATGAGGTTTCATGTGCATGCACACTTCTTCAGATTTATTGTGTGACTGCAGAAATGGATAAAAGCCCCCCATTCAAACAATGACTATCATCAGTGCAGGTAAGATTTTTTTTTTTTTTAATTTTTATCATCTACAATACCATCCTATTTATTTTATAGTACAGAACATTGAACATTATTGCTTTCATTTTATGGATCAATGGTCTCGTTAGATAGTAAAATTCATGTTAAATTGCTGTTATAGGGGTTGTTTTTAAAAGTCTGGAACAGATTAATCTGTTTTGAATTCCTTTCTATGGGAAAGCGCGCCTTGGTTTTGGAACACTTTGGTTTTGGAGCGGACTTCCGGAACGGACTAAGTTTGAGAACCAAGGTACCACTATAATACCATTACTCTGCACTACCTGGCACTAGGCTGCTGGGAGGAGAGCTATTACCTCAGCTGGACATCCAGCGCCACTGCCACACAAGGCAAGTCGAGCAGCAGGTGGAAGATCTCCAGAGCCGTGTCGGTCCCAAGCAGGGCTGGCAGAAGGTCCATATAATCAGCGACAAGGGCTGGGCTGTTCCATGCCAGGAACTGCAAGGGAGGTGGGAACGAGATGAAACTGCAATGAGTGGGCCTGCTCTCCCTCCACACCCCAAGTGGATTCTCCCACTATAGATCCTCTCTCTAGGGAAGACAGCAGAGCCAATGATCCAAGGGGGAAGGAGGAGGGGAAGGCCAGACCCTAAAGCTCCTCCCATACAAAGGAACGGCGATGCCTGAAGCTTGGGCAGGCCATTGGGCCCATCTAGAACAATGATGCCTACTCTGGTTGGCAGCAGTTCTCAAGCGTCCCAAGTCTTCCCTAGCTGGAGATGCTGCAGGCTAAACAAGACAACCTCTGGCTCTTCCTCAATAGTCACAGCTGGCCACACAGGTGGGTCTCCCCCAGGGCTGGATTTAGGTTGGATGAGGCCCTAAGCTACTGAAGGTAATGGGGCCCTTTATATGTCCAGCTGTCCTTTGTCAACAACAAATTGTCACTGTTTTCTTGTGTTGAATATATGCTATACAGTGATTTATGGACCTAATAGGTATCTAAAGCCATTTGCACATGCCGAATGTAGGCACCCTATATATAGAAAGGAGCAAACCAGGGATATTTGAGGGAGCAGGCTAGCAGGCGGGGCCCATGACTTACATCATAGGAACCGAAACAACACAAAACACTGTTGCTGTATGTAGGTTTTATTTTATTTGTTTTTTATCTCATATTTTGGAAATGTATACGCAGGGCCTTTTTCCTTTAATTTTTTTGGGGGCCCCCAAGAGAGTGGGGCCCTAAGTTATAGCTTTTTTAGGTTATACGTAAATCTGGCACGGGTGTCCTCTCTCCCTTGGATCTCCATTACTCCTAAAGTTGTGGCCAGATTGCTGACTGGGGCTGGTTACAGGGAGCAGGCTAATCCCTTGTTCAGGGTGCTAATTAAGCCCTGTGTGGCTTTGGGACAGGCTACCGGAAAGATCGTATCTCCCTCTGCAAACCTGCCTGGGGGTGCTAAGGTCCTTGGGTGAGCACCTTCTCTCGGTCCCATCAACATCAGAGGCATGGTTGGGGGGTGATCCAACAAAGACAGGGCCTTTTCTGCAGCTGCTCCCATATTGTGGGATTCCTTCCCAAGAGAGGCCAGCCTGGCTCCCTCCCTGTCATCCTTCCACTGGCAGGCTAAGACCTTCCTGTTGAGACAGGCCTTTGGAAACTAACGTGCAGGCAACGCTGACCACTGGGCTGCTGTGAGAGCAAGCTAAAGGTAAAGGTAAAGGTAAAGGTAAAGGTAAAGGACCCCTGACATTAAGTCCAGTTGCAAAAGACTCTGGGGTTGTGGTGCTCATCTTGATTTACTGGCCGAGGGAGCCGGGATTCGTCCGCAGACAGTTTTTCTGGGTCATGTGGCCAGCATGACTAAGCCGCTTCTGGTGAACCAGAGCAGCGCACGGAAACGCCGTTTACCTTCCCACCAGAGTGGTACCTATTTATCTACTTGCACTTTTGGGGGTGCTTTTGAACTGCTAGGTTGGCAGGAGTAGGGACCAAGCAACAGGAGCTCACCCCATCGCGGGGATTTGAACTGCCAATTGGATTTCCAATCGGCAAGCCCTAGCCTCAGTGGTTTAGACCACAGCGCCACCCGCAAACTGGATTTTAATTTTGCTAATTCTAAATGTTGTTTTGATGTTTTTCCACCAGTTTGTTTTTATTCCTTTGTTTTTCGTAATGTCGCTTTTAAATGGTGGAAGCTGCCTTGAATCTCAACTTGGGAGGAAGGCTGCATATAAATATGTTAAATAAAATAACAGTAATAATAGTAATAATAATAATAACCATGGCCCTGAGAAAGAGCCGACTAAGAGCAGTTGGATGAAAAAGCAGAAGCCACCTGCACATTCTCCAACAGCTTTTAACTTCTGCCCATGAGGCCCCGTGAGAGTCTTGCTACCAGGTACCTTGAATAGGTTTGGGAAGTTCTGTCGGAAGATGCTGAGTTTCTCAGTGAAGAACCGAATGTTGTGCCTGCAGAACTGGATAAACTCAAAGGCCAGCATTGGGCTGTGGAAAAGCTGAGCGGGAACTCTGGTGAAGAGGTGCCTGTAAACAGCTTCGGAGTCCACAGCCGCCGTCTCACCTGGAGAGCGAGGATAGAAACACACACGTACGCATGCATAGATTTAGCATTCTCCATCCTGCTTTAGTCAGCCCTGGGGAGGGGGAAACTGAGGGTGCTTTCGTAAAGCCCTTCACGGCCTAGGACCCTCGTACCTACGGGACCGCCTCTCCCAGTACGCCCTGTGGAGGACCTTAAGGTCCATAAATAGCAACACCCTAGAGGTCCCAGGCCCTAAGGAAGTCAGATTAGCCTCAACCAGAGCCAGGGCCTTTTCAACACTGGCCCCGGCCTGGTGGAACGCTCTGTCTCATGAGACCAGGGCCCTGCAGGATCTGATTTCTTTCTGCAGGGCCTGTAAGACAGAGTTGTTCCACCTGGCCTTTGGCTTGGAATCAACTTGATCCCCTTCCCCTCTATCATTTCTCCTTCTGTGATGGAACTCCTATTTGGGGACTTCCCTGGCTTTTTTCTGGCCCACGTAGGACCAGTTTGGATAGTTGGCCTTGGGGAAGATTTGAAGTATTCATCCCCAAAAAGTTTTTGATTTGAGTTTCTTTTTTTTTTTATAGTTGATATTTATTGAATTTTCAAAAAATAACAACAAAAATTTCCAAAAAAAAAAAAATTTAAGGATACAAAAAACAAAATTAGTGCATAAACAAAAAAGAAAAGAAAACCCAGCCGCAAAGAAAAAAAAGAGAAACAGAAAAACAAAAATATAAAGTCCTTTACAATCTCTATTGACTTCCTTTCTAGACTTCCTCCTCCTCCCCTCTTTTGTTTCTTAATTTTTAATTTTTACAGCAAATCCTTTCCGTTTTTTCATAACAATCTGTCATTACGTTTCCTTATTCTATTTTCCCTCTTGTCATATAAAAACTTTAAAACCCATAGCTTATATTCAATATTTACCAAATTCTTGCATCATTACCTTTTTACGAATCATTTACCAATCCTTACTTAAGTCATGTAATTTCATTCAACATCCTTCAAACATTTGTAAGCATTCCCAATATTAAAAAGTAAAAAAAAAAAAATAATAAGTCAAATTCAGTCCAGTCAGCTTCCAACCTCCCCTCCCCTGGACCCGGGATTGTCAGTCCTTTTAACCTCGGTAATCCGGCTCCTTAACCTGGTTGTCTCGTATCCGAGGCCCTCAAGTCTCTTTCTTGCCCCTTTCGCCACTCTTGTTGATGATTCCTTTCCAGTCGTGGATGCTCCAGCAAGAAAATGCTTTTGACCCTTTGCAACAAGTCCATCCCAAACCCATTGCCCAAGCCAGACAGCAAATAATACCACTTCAAATTTCCACAAAGCTTGGAGACTTCGGCTACTCCAATCCTCTGATAGCCCATCACCAGACTCGGAAGGTCCAAATAACCATATGGAGGGGGGTCGATCCATCCCCCCATTTCCAAATCTGACCACATTTCATCTTTCCGGGCTGGCGCCTCCGGAAAATGGCGGAATTCCCTTCGGACTGAAGGGAACCCGCTGCACGGAGGCTTGGGTCCTGCCGCTACGGCGCAGCGGGGACCCGCAAAAACCACAGGCGGAAGAAGCCTGTGGACGTGGGACTCGGCGGGCACCGAGAGCGCTCTCTCCCCTTGTACAGGAGCCCGGTAACGGGCTCCGGAGTGGGAGGTGCGTGGTGCTGTGAGTCGTCTGCTTCCTCCGTGCAGCAAAGCCGCACTGCCGTTATCGGAGAGCGCTGCCTTTTCCTGGACAATTTGGCATCTAAAACATCTATCCGTGAGTACCTGATCTTGGAAGAGCTGAACCACTTTTAAGACTGGTGAATAAACAAATAATATTGGACTTGAAATTGAACTTAATTGGGACTCGGAATGGGAAGGTCTAAACAGGAAGTCGCCTTCCGTTCTTTTGTTATGTGAAGAAAGCAAAGACAAAATATACTAAAGCCTGAAAATTAAATTTTAAGAGAACTAGAATTCAACATCTAAGATTTCTGAACCCCCCCTTTGACTGCAGGAGAAAAAGGGGGTTGTATTTGGACTTTTCAATCCTGCGGAAGTGAGTTTAAAATAAAGCAATTTTCCACCGCCCTGAACCAGGAGCGGGCTGTCAGAATTGACGTTCTGAAGTTTATCCAGCTCGACAGTTAGTTAAAAGAAGGGTAACATTTTGATTCTACTGTTGCCTCTTGAATTTGGAAGGGGAATTTTGGATAAAGTGTTTCTGGAAAAGAAAGATTGTTGCTGTTGCTTTTATTCCTTTATTAAAATAAAAAATTTCCATCTAGTGGAATTTAGTGAAATTGCAACGCAGAGAGATTAAAAGAGAAGGACTATTGGACTATTGTCGTGGGAAAGAATTTTCTTTGACCTTGAAGGACAATGCTAGTACAAAGGCTTGAACAATTGTTCCTGGAAGGTTTTCAAAACTAAGTGCCCAGCTGGACCAGATGCGTCAGGAGACGACCTTGAGGATGGAAGTTACCAGAGCACAGCAGCAAACAAATGAAATTCAGTTAAAGGCTATACAAGCATATGAACCTGCTGTAGTGACGGAGGCTTCAGAGATGGAGGGACCTTTGGACGGGCAAGATCAGCCTTTGAACTTGATAAATGAACTTGATTTGAGTTTCTACTGAAATGAGGCTGCATTTTAATGTTGTATTTTAATCTTGTTTTTAAGTTGTATTTTAATCAATTGTTTTTACCTGGTGTTAGCCGCCCTGAGCCCGGTCTTGGCTGGGGAGGGTGGGGTATAAATAATTTATTATTATTATTATTATTATTATTATTATTATTATTATTCCTCTCTGCTTTCCCCTTTTCTAATAAAACGTCCCTTTCTCAGTTTAGACCTGATGTCTGGGGGCGGGTTTGTGATAAACCCAATTTCCTCCTGCCACCCACCATGCATTGCTTGGAGTTCAGCTTCCTGCTTTTGCCGAGAGGGAAACGCAAGGCAAGCAAACTGCCCCTTGCTGCCTGCAAGGACAGGAATCTCCAAGGCAGTTGCTGCCTCTCCCTGGCAGGAATTTGGCTCCCATCTCTGGCCTCCCTCCCGGGCAGAGTCAGAGGGAAAGGGAGGCTGTGGAGGAAGCTGTCTGGCATCGCAGCTGCCCTCCCTACCCAGGCAGTTTCGGAGGCAGAGCTTCGCTTCAGCCGGCCAGCCTTACTCACTGTGGTTCAGAAAGAACTGGGCAATCGGCAGCAGCACCCTGGCATAAGACAGGTCCCCACTGATCCGGCTGTGCACGTTTTTCAGGCAGGAGAGCGAGCGGTAGACGTAGGAAGAGTCCTGTCTGCAAATGATATCCATAATGGTGATGGCTTCAATAAGGCACTGTGCGAGGGAAAGAGGGGGAGAGACGTCACCGTCAGGGATTCTGGAATGGCTGCCCAAGATCCCTGCTCAAGCCCCAAAACCTTCCTTCAGGCTACTTACGGCTTTCTGAAGCTCCCCGTCGGCTTTCTTCAGAGCCCCTGGCAGACAAAACAAAATTGATCTCATAGAACCACAGAAACATAGAACTTGGAAAGGGACCCCACGGGTTATCTCCCGCTTGCACTACTGCCATGAGCTGTACGTGGGGCTTCCTTTGAAGGTGACCCAGAAACTGCAACGAATCCAGAATGCAGCAGCTAGACTGGTGACTGGGAGCGGCCACTGAGACCATATAACCTGAAAGAGCTACATTGGCTCCCAGTTAAGTTTCCGAGCACAATTCAAAGTGTTGATGTTGACCTTCAAAGCCCTAAACGGCATCGGCCCAGTATCCCTGAAGAAGTGTCTCCACCCCCATCATTCTGCCCGGACACTGAGGTCCAGCGCCGAGGGCCTTCTGGCGGTTCCCTCCCTGTGAGAAGGGAGGTTACAGGGAACCAGGCAGAGGGCCTTCTTGGTGGTGGCACCCACCCTGTGGAACACCCTCCCATCAGATGTCAAGGAAATAAACAACTATCTGACTCTTAGAAGACATCTGAAGGCAGCCCTGTTTAGGGAAGTTTTTAATGTTTGATGTTTTATTGTGTTTTTAATATTCTGTTGGGAGCTGCACAGAGTGGCTGGGGAAACCCAGCCAGATGGGTGGGGTATAAAAAAAGTATCATCATCATCATCATCATCATCATCATCTAGTCCAACCCCCTGTGATGCAGGAAGGGCAGCTAAAGAACCCCTGACAGGTGGCCATTCAACCTCTGCTTAAAAACCTCCAAGGAAGGAGAATTTGCCACCTCCCGAGGGACTCTTTATAATAATAATAATAATTTATTATTTATACCCGCCCATCTGGCTTGGCTTCCCCAGCCAATCTGGGCAGCTTCCAACAAAATATTAAAATACAGTAATGCATCAAACATGAAAAGCTTCCCTAAACAAGCTTTCCATGCCCAAACAGCTCTTATCATCAGGAAGTTCTCCCTGATGCTTAGTAAGAATCTCCTTTCTTGCAATTTGAATCCATTAGTTTGGGTCCCGCCCTCTGGAGCAGCAGGAAACAAGTTTGCTCCATCTTCTACGTGCCAGCCCTTCAGATATTTAAGGTGGCTATCACGGCACCTCTCAGTCTCCTCTTCTCCAAGTTAAACATACCTAGCTTGTGACAACTGAGTCGGCATGTGAGCCAAAACAGACCTGCTGCTTCTCCTGGAAAAGCTGGACCTTTCCTTCCCCACAGACAACTGGAGGAATAGTTGGGAGGAAAGACTCCAGAAGGGGATTCAGAAATATGGGCGCATGAAAAAAATTAATTTCTGTGCAAGTTACAATGCGAAATAGGAGACGGAAAAGAGAAGAGGTGAAAAAGCAAACAGTATCCCTAAATCTCTGCCACCCTCACCAGCAGGAAACAAGCCAAGCACAGAAAAGGGGACTCACGGCGGTTGCTTTGCTCTATAAGCCTCTGGCAGTACTCAAAGGCCTTTTCTCGCAAGCGCTCCTTGGGGGGGAGCAGGCGGCTGGAGGTGGAGGTGACGGAGACCATGGACATGACGGAGCCGTCCACCTCCGATTTATCATCTGCAAAGAAAGTGGGGACAAGGTGAGCAGTTTATTCATGCAAGCGTGGTGTAGGAACATCGCAGTCTTGAAAAAAGATTTCCCACAACCTACGTTTGCTGCAGGGTAAAGAACAGCCGCAGTCTTTGAGTGCAATATGGTGGGACTTTGTTTTATATACCTCTGAATCACACAGATAAAAACATCTGTTGGCAATCGCCAGGGCAATTTGGCTTGCCTGATCTCCTCCCTGTCTTCTGTTAAGATTCAGCTCCTATTCTTCTATTTGTACCTATTTTTGCCTCTCACTGATGTATGGTTTTCTTATTTATGGTCCTAACTCCTGTTTTGTTATGGGGGGAGGTTATATGTCAACTTTATATTTTCTGCTTGTTCTCTATACGATTTAAAATCACACACACAAACAGAAAGATGGGGCAAGATGAGTCAGTGAAAGGTTTCCTCGGTTTCTTTCTCTAGTAATTTTATTAACTTAAAATCAAAATAGAGCGTACAAAACATTCCAAATCAGCAAAACACAATCAATAAATTCAGTCTGATACAGTCTCACATTTTATGCAGCTTGTCTTTTACAAGATAAGGAAAAAAAAATTAAGGAGAAAGAAAATAATTAAAGACAGGAAGGAAAAAAACCTAACAAATACAATTGTACCTTGGAAGTCGAACGGAATCCGTTCCGTTCGACTTCCAAAACTTCGGAAACCAAAGCGTGGCTTCTGATTGGCTGCAGGAAGCTCCTGCAGAAAACCGCGGAATCCCCATCGGACGTTTGGCTTCCAAAAATAGTTTGCAAACTAGAACAGTCACTTCTCGGTTTGTGGCGTCCGGGAGCCAAAACGTTCAAGAACTCAGCTGTTTGAAAACCAAGGTATGACTGTAAGGCTAAGAACCTACCAACATACTAAGCAGGTTCAAGTTCAAATTTCAAATCATTATTAAGTAAATATCTATCTCTGTCAATTTCCTATTTTCCTCAAAGGTCCCCTAAATTTCTAACACACATTCTAACTCATTTAAAATTGAAAGTGCAGCTCATTCTTTTCATACAAGAGTGTTTACTTTTAAGACCGCAAGATGGTAAACACTGCCTAGACTTAGAAGGGCCTAACTTCTTTGCCCACCCCAATGTTTCTGCTTGAGTCCCTGTTCTGGGCACAGTTCCTCTAAGGGCCGCTAACTCTACTGCCTCTCTGCATGAGGTGCAATTGAATGGTCTAATCACACTCAATGCAGAGACACAGCACAACTTAGCTGCCCCATCAGAAGCCCATTGGAATAAGCAGTGGGTTGTGCAGAGTTGCAACAGGAAACCTCTCCTCGTGAGACCTCGTGGTTTAATTCGTGATTGGAAAGTCACACTCTCTTCACTATATATTTATATATAGAGAGAGAGAGGTTTTGTTTTTTTAAGAAATACAAATAACATATCAACCCAAAAGAAACGCCCCCCCCCCATTATAACAAACCAATAATATTGTATTTAGTGGGATGCGAGTGGCGCTGTGGGTTAAACCACAGAGCCTAGGACTTGCCGATCAAAAGGTCGGCGGTTCGAATCCCCGTGACAGGGTGAGCTCCCATTGCTCGGTCCCTGCGCCTGCCAACTTAGCAGTTCAAAAGCACGTCAAAGTGCAAGTAGATAAATAGGTACTGGCGGGAAGGTAAACGGCGTTTCTGTGCACTGCTCTGGTTTGCTGGCCACATGACCCGGAAGCTGTACGCCAGCTCCCTCGGCCAATAAAGCGAGATGGGCGCCGCAACCCCAGAGTCGGTCACGACTGGACCTAATGGTCAGGGGTCCCTTTACCTTTACTTAATATTGTATTTATTATCTATCCGGTATGGAGCATGCTGCTGTAAACAATGCTGTTCGCCATCTGATCCCTTGGTGTCTTACCATAACAGCAGATGTGTTGATGGCGGCTGCCAATCATGTTCCTCATTGGCTGTATCCACAGTGCCCTCCCCTCCACCTCTCTAGATCCTTACCTGAATTTGGACTACTAGCTCCGTTGCTCCCGTAGCACAGCAGCCACTTCCGCAGCATGGAGAAGGCCTGCATGTTGAACCACTGGTCCTCTGTGTAATACTGGCCGACTGAGAGCACAGTGAAGAAGTCCGTGGTGGCTGTGCCGTCCACCTCCATGATGGGGCCAGGCTGTGGGGCGGAAGAAAGAGCAGAGTAAACCGCTACTTAGAAAGCAGAGAATCAGGACCAGAGAGCCCAGGTGTTTAAAGGCCAGACATGAGAATCAGACCAGTGGTCCGCCTTGTCCAGAGTCCTGCTGTTCTCACAGTGGCCAACGGGATGCCTGGGGGAAACTCCCACTGCTGCAAGGGCAAAGGTGAACTAGGCAAGTCACTCCGAGCTCCTTGGAGGAAGGGCAGGATTCAGGGTCACCCCAGTGCAGAATCTGCGTCTGTGCTCTTGACTCGCTGGGTGGTTTTTCCATGTGCCTTCTCTTAAAAAGCAAGCCCGGGTTCATGCCCCCTGGAGCTGCAGTTCCGCACCTGTCTTGCTCGAGGGTTGAAGAAGCCTCCTGAGGACTGGGGGACTCCTTGCTGGACGCTGGCATACCTCAGCCAGTCCACCATCCTTTTGCTGAGCAGGTTGATCTGATCTATGGATCGAAAGCAACACAGCCCGTCAGGAAGACACAACAGAGGACGACTGCGGGGAGCCTTGGCAATACCAATGGTTCACCATCAGGCAGCCTCAGGTCCACCTACACCTTCATCTGTCCCTACACTGTCCAGAGAAGAGCTTAGTGCTTGGGGCCAGGAGCGAGAAAACTCTGCAGATCAACAGAAGAGCTGTTCCTGCGAATTTGCATCTTTGACACCCACAATTTATTCTACCCACGCATCCTCATCTGTGGAGAAAAGAGGCTGGAACTGGGATTCTTACCAGGAACCAGAAAAGACTACCCTTCTATAAACACCTCCAGCATTTCCTAATTACATTGGGCTGGCTGCAGCCTATGTTTATGGCACTTAATTGCTCCTGCGAAACAGCAAACCCCTTAGCCTCTAAAACCTCATCTCTATAATATTGGTTGAAAATATATTGGGTGACTGCCTAAGCAGAACAGAACAGATGCCTGCTTTAGACATTGGCAGTGTCTAGGTTATTATTATTATTAAGTATATTGCCCTTCATCCACAGACCTCAGCATGGTTCAAAACATTTTAAAAACCTTCTTCAAACTGCTCCCCTCCTGAGGTTCTGGATGACAAAACCCACAGTACCAAATTTGGCATGGCCAAAACATACGCCATGCACTACACTGGGGAAGACTAGTCTGAATAATAATAACAATAATAATGATTTTATTATTTATACCCTACTCATCTGGCTGGGTTTCCCCAGCCACTCTGGGTGGCTCCCAACAGAATATTAAAAACACGATCAAACATAAAAAAAACTTCCCTAAACAGGACTGCCTTCAGATGTCTTCTAAAAGTCAGATAGTTGTCTATTTCCTTGACATTTGGTGGGAGGGTGTTCTACAGGGAGGGCGCCACTACTGAGAAGGCTCTTTGCCTGGTTCCTTGTAACCTCACCTCACCTCTCTGAGTGAGGGAACCTCCAGAAGGCCCTTGGAGCTGGACCTCAGTGTCTGGGCTGAACGATATACAGTGGTGCCCCGCAAGACAAATGCCTCGCAAGACGAAAAACTCGCTAGACGAAAGGGTTTTGCGTTTTTTGAGTCGTTCCGCAAGACGAATTTCCCTATGAGCTTGCTTCGCAAGACGAAACGTCTTGCGAGTTCTTGCGAGTTTGTTTCCTTTTTCTTAAAGCCGCTAAGCCATTAATAGCCGCTAAGCCGTTAATAGCCGCTAAGCCGTTAATAGCCGCTAAGCCGTTAATAGCCGCTAAGCCGAAAAAACCGCAAGACGAAGAGACTCGCGGAACGGATTAATTTCGTCTTGCGAGGCACCACTGTACTGCCTTTCTGCTGAGGCACCCACAGTGGTTTACAATTTCAAAGGACTAAAACAAATGTTCAAAGTCCCAGCCTCAAACTAACTTGGTTGTTTTCTACAGGAGGGTGGACGGAAGGCAGATCTGGGTCTACCGGCAGATCTCTAGGAGATACGCAAGGATTTCACACCCCCTAGTCTCAGAATAGCACCTGAACAAGACTCTTAAAATGAGGAACGCTAACCAGAATTGAAGTTTTGTGTGAAAGGACTCTCAGATTAGTTCAGTTCCTCAGCTCAGAGGTTGGGGTTCTAGTAAAAAAACCAAAGTAGATCCAACCAGCCTGCCCACTTCTTGCACTTACCTTCATTAAGGCTCATCGGTAGAAAGCTGATGATTTTTGAAAGGAGGGGGAGAAGGTGCCGTGCATTTTGACCTTCAGGAAGCCTGCCTTCCAGGACTTTCACCACACGCTGCCCAAAAGCTTCCACCACTGCCTTTTTACTGCCCTTTGGATAAAAGCAAAGATTTTGAAGGCTCACAAGCCACAGGGGCTGAGCTTACGCAAAAGGAACCTGCCCTCTGGCAATTCATTTAAGATTCTGAGTGAACAACTAAAAAAAGTTTAGGGTGCCTGGAATTTGGCATAGACCAGATCTCGCCAGATGGGGGAGCATTTTTAAAAAACGACAAGAAAAAACTATACCATGTCCAAAATCTGGGTGTGAAACGGGCCACAGTCACAGGGAAACAAAGCAAAGAACCAAACTGTGGTCTTTCCAGAATCACAGTTCACTTACCTGGGCTAGCACGATGGAGAAGGCAAGGCTCAGGAGCTTGGTGTCCTGGATGTTATCCCAAGACACAGATAAATCATTACAAAGTGACGTCTCTCTCAGGATGGCAGCACAAAGAAACTGGACTTGCTCAGGAGTCTTTGGCAGATGCAACACTGTCTGCAGAAGTTCCAGAAATTTGCCATCTATCCTGCAAAAAGCATCATCAACATAAGCAGCGAACACAAAATGAAGAGAAGCTAAGGGTGCAATCAATGTACACATATCTGGACGTAAGTCAAACTGGGAAGCCATGTATAGCATTGCACTGTAAGATGTTTTAATATTTGTTATATTCTACTGACTGAACACCAGTATGAAAGGGAACCAGCCCAAGGTAAGGAAAGCCACTCACATCATAGTTCTACGGAGACACTTGTAGCATTTGATTAACAGAGCTATAAATATGCTACAGATGTTTGCTTGGACTTATTAAAACCAGCATTTGCCTTCACTTACTTCCGTCCATATTTAGTGGCTGAGACGATCAAAAACAGTCTTTGCAAGCTATCGACAGTCTCATTTCCAAAGTCTTGATTTTGGAGAAAGCCTGTGATTCGTGAAATGAATTTTCTCAGTTCTTCATCCTGGATCTCCCTAATAGGAAAGCATATAGAAATTAAGAAATCTCCGTTTTGCAAACTTCCACATCAGGCCTTTGCCAACCACGACAGTAGTTGCTTTGCCATACACTGGGCTGGGAAAGACTCTGCTGGCAACTTCAGTGACAACTGGATGGGCTGGATGGCTCGTGGGCTGGCAAAGCACCAGACAGACCCTTGCATACTCTTATATTTCCATTATGAAAATGGTTTGCAAGGAGCAAACCAGAGCACTGCATGTTTTCCAGAGGCATCTGGTTGGCCACCGTGAGAACAGGATAGATGGGCCACTGGCCTGATAAAGCAAGGCTCTTTCTGTGTCCTTATATCTTAACCAAGAGGAAGTCTCCACATTTCACAGAATCCCGTGAAGCTCCCTGGTGTCCTTGGGTCAGTCACTGCCTCTCAACATAACCTCCCCTCACAGGGCTGTTGCAATAAGTTAATATAATAATAATAATAATAATAATAATAATAATTTATTTATACCCCGCCCATCTGGCTGGGTTTCCCCAGCCACTCTGGGCGGCTTCCAACAAAATATTAAAATACAGTACTTTGGATTAAAGTTTTAAGCTTTTCGCATTTATAAATTTTAAATTTATTGTTGTACATTGTTTTAAATGTTTGTTTTCCTTCTGGGATTGTACCCCCAAGTGTGTTTTATAAGCTGGTCTCCGACCGTAATAAATTATCTATCTATCTATCTAACTAACAGTACTTTGGATGTCCAAAGCATGCATTAGTTGAAGAATGAAGAACCGTTTATTTTGTATTTCTCATTTTGTTTATAATATCTATTGTACAGTTTTCTGTTATAAAGTGTTCAATCAATAAAGCACACAAAAAAGAGTATCTGCCAGGGCAAAAGGCGAGGCACAAATAAATAAATACATAATAGTAGTAACAGTAATAAAGAAGAGGAAGCTGGCAAGCCCCAACTCAGCCTCCGCCCAAAGAAGCAGCTGGAACCCAAAGCCTCTGGAGGGCTTCTGCTCCCCCCCCCCGGGGCTCCCCCTTCCCCAGCCCCCCATTTTGCCTCTCCCTACCTGGCCTGGCGCAGGAAGCTCTCCGTCCCCGCGGAATACATCCTATTTTCCAAAAAGAAAAAAAGAAAATGGGGGGGGGAGGAGTCCGGACTTATTTTGGGAGTGCACAGCCAGCGCTTCCTTTGCTTCCGGGTTATTCTCCGCCCCAACACTTCTGGGCATGCGCGCGGGTCCCTCTTCAAATCCGTCCGTGTGGAAACCGGCCTCCTCGGCGCCACAGTTCCGGGAGGGAGGAGGAGGCGGTGCCTCTTCTTCCTATATGGGATTTGGCGAGCTTCTTTGCACGTGGGCTGGGGATGGGGGAGGCCCTATTGTGTTTGCAGAGGTCTTTAATTGTCAGGTGCGCGTGAGGGCACAGCTTTAAGGGCTGGCCGGGGGTAGGATCTCATAAGGAGCAGGAAATGATGGGAGAGGACACAGAGGTCTAGCGGCTTGAAAATGCAGTTTGTTTTTTTAATTTCCTTTTTTTTAAAAAAAGTAATCTTTACTAGTGTAAATTACACACATATACTCAAAAATTTACAAAGAATTCACACTTGCAGGAAGAAAAAATAAAGAGAAGGGGGGGAAAGAAAAGAAAAGGAAGAGAGAAAAAATTGCAGAAAAGAAGGGGGGAAACAGAAGAAAGGAGCAAAAACAAATTTACATATGTAACCTTCCTATTAACATCTTAATAAGCACTTAAATAAAAAGACTTGATAAAACGAGTCTTCCATTCGTTCTCATTGCACTGTTTATACTTTCTTTTTGTCACACAGTTTCCTAATCTTTAGTATTGTTCCTATTTACTCCAAAAACGATGTTTGTTATGCATTTTGTTTACATGTACCACTCGAGTTCTGCTAGTATTGTATCGTTGGTATATAATCCTTAAATATTCTCCATTCTCTAAATATTTTCTGGTTCACTACTCCTCTAACTCTTCCTGTCAATTTTGCTATTGTAGGTATTCTAGCATAAGTATCTGCCCGTCTGTAATTGTCAGCATTTTTTCATCTTTCCAGTTTCTTGCCACAAGGATTCTTGCTGCTGTGGTGGCATACATGAACAGTGGTCTTATGTCTTATTTTATTTTTTAAATTTCCACATTGCCCTGCATCCGAGGATCACAGGGCGGTTACGTTGTAAAAACACGGAAAAGGTGTGCCCCTGCTCAGAACGAGGGTGGATTTGATGTAAATCAAATTGATTTAAATCACAATTTAAATCACTATTCAATAAGACTTGATTTAAATCACTGGTCAGTAAGACTAGCCTAGCATCCCACCTTCGTCACCAGTGAAGTGTAGGTGGCTTCCCACGAGGCAAGACACAGCAAGAACAGCAAGAACCTTTATTGAGCTACATAGCTGGGTATGAGGGCCAAAGCAACTGCTTATATACATACCTGAAAGCCTGGGCCACTCCCACTCCCAACATGATTGACTGTCTAAACTTCCAAGCTGCGAATCACGACTCAGAATTCAAGGGCCAATGGCAGAGGCCCAAATCCTGAAATGTTCTGTGATTGGACATCATGTATTGAATCAGAACACATGAGCTCAGAACCCTTAGTCCAGACTCAAGCTCAGTCAGACACAGACTTACCTTTGGATTAGTGGTTTTCAACCAGTGTGCCGTGGCACCCTGGGGTGCCTTGAATGATGGTCAGGGGTGCTGCAGATAACGGGCCTCTGTCCCTCTTTCCTTCTCTCCCTCCTCTGATGCCCTTTTGCATCTCTGTCTCCCAAAGGTTTGCACAGCTGTTCATTGCAGCAGCCCTGGCTCCAAGCTCCCCAAGCGAATGGTGCCTCTGGGGCTGGTCAGGGGGTGCTGGTTGCCAGGAGCAAGCAAGCAAGCCAGTGGGCAAGGGAGCCCAGCCAGCCAGCCCTTGCTGTTGGGAATGGGCAGACAAGTCCCAAGTCCCTGTGGGGCAGTGTGAGGAGGCATCTCTTCTTGGGGCAGCTCAGAGACCAGGGGCGGCTGCCCGGAGGACTCCCAAAGAGAGGGGAGAGGAGAGGCGGCTCGGGGAACACCCTACAAGGGAGTGTGTTCGAAAAAGGGTGAGAGGCTGCCTGCTCTGCAAGCAAAGGGTGACATAACTGGGCCCCTGAGCCCCCCAGGGGTGCCGCAGAAAGAATGTAGTTGGCCAAGTGAGCCTTGGACTCAGAAAGGCTGATAACTGCACTAAAAAGGCATATTTCTATTCCTCCACCCCTTCCCTTGTGCCTCAGGTGCAGATTGCTGCCATACTTAAAACTCAAACAACCCCTCCAGCTGCAACCTTCACCAACCTGCGGCTAGGCAGATGTTTGGGGTGGGAACCAAGGCTAGGCTGGGCCGGACAGCACTTGTGCTCAAAAACATCTGGAGAGGCCCCCAGATGCCGGTTATCTTCTCTTGGAATGGAATCCAATGAATTTGGCTGCATCAGCAGGTTTTGGCAATTTGGAAACGTACAGTACTAGGAGCTACAGTGGTACCTCGGATTAAGAACTTAATTTGTTCCAGAAACTGTTAACCTGAAACTGTTCTTAACCTGAAGCACCACTTTAGCTAATGGGGCCTCCTGCTGCTGCTGTGCCGCCAGAGCATGATTTCTGTTCTCATCCTGAAGCAAAGTTCTTAACCCGAGGTACTACTTCTGGGTTAGCGGAGTCTGTAACCTGAAGCGTATGTAACCCGAGGTACCACTGTATTTGGGAGTAAGACAGGGCGGGTGGAAATCAAACAGGTGCACATCTAAATATGTGCTTCAAGCAAAGGGTGACATAACTGGGCTCCTGAGCCCCCCAGGGGTGCCGCAGAAAGAATGTACAGTAGTTGGCCAAGGGAGCCGTGGACTCAAAAAGTTTGAAAACCTCTGGATTAGACTAAGCTTGGGGATAGCTCAGCTAGTTAGAGCGTGGTCTGATAACGCCAGGGTTGCAGGTTTGATCCCTGTATGGGACAGCTGCATATTTCTGCATTGCCGGGAGTTGGACTAGATGAGCCTCAGGGTCCCTCTACAGTTCTATGAGGCTATGATTTGTATTTCACTCTTGATTTAATTTGTCTGACTTTTAGCCAGACCCTATGGGAAAACAGATGGGGGGAGTTAATTATTAATCACTGTCCATTAAATATTCTCATTATTAATTATCAATACATTAGAACACCATTGCACAGTTCCGTCACGGTAGTTCATTTATAGGTACAGATGTAATGTTTTTTGGGGGGGAGAGAGAATTTCACGTTACTTCCGATGACCTCCATGAAAAGTTGCTTTGCAAAGCTTAAACAAGGAGATGAAGGGTGGAAAGACTTCCTTGGGAAGAAAAGGTTAAAAGACATTAATGTCTCTGCATCAGAGACGGATTTTGCTCTGACTGCTAATTAGCCAGAAGCTGCTTCTCGCAATGAGAGGCATCAGAGAGATTTAATCAGGAAGCAGGCTCTCTGTCAAAGGGAGTGTGCTGCTGCCATTTCCCTGAGGTGTGTATGTGTCTGTCAGGATGGACCAAGTGGGGGGAAAGTCATTACAAGGAAACAGTTATGCGCAGTTATCCTGTTGGAAATTCATCCCTGCCTCCCAGGAAGAGAGACAGAGTGTCAGGCATCTGAGCAGCGAGACACTTCTGCATGGGTTTCAGAAATACATGTGAGTCAAACATTTCTAGAGTGTCTTGTGACCCAGTCTGTCTTGTCCCCAAAAAACATTGATTTCCTGTGTGTGATCTAGTAACATTTATGTTGGTTGGGAAAGAAAAAAGATGGTATATAAAAAGAAGAATTCCTGGATGCATAGATTCAGGTTTGGGGCAAGTACTCTTTAGTGAGAGAACCGCAGCAGACGTCTAAAATCACAAAATATGCAGCAAAAGTGTGGAAAAATAGGCAGTTAGATGTTTAAATATCCCCTTCTAAGTTGCTTCCAAATTTCCCCACTTCCTGTAGCACAGAAAGAAACCACACGTTTGGTAAGTTAAAAATTATTTACAGTACTTACAAACTCTTCAAAGGTCAGGTTCCTGTGCCTTTCCATACAGCAGTTATAAAAACCCAGGCAGTTAAGCTACCAGCATGAGTTTGACCAAGCTGCAGGAGGCAGTGGAAGACAGGAACGCCTGGCGTGCTCTGGTCCAGGGGGTCACGAAGAGTCGGACACGACTAAACGACTAAACAACAAAAAGGGGAGTGAAAGGCGATATATCAAGTCCAAACTCCTCCTCCTCCTCCTCCTCCTCCTCTTCTTCTTCTTCTTCCTCTCCTTCTTCTTCTTCTTCTTCTTCTTCTTCTTCTTCTTCTTCTTCTTCTTCCATTTAACCAGGGAAAGTCCCATTGCATTCATCAGTACCGACTTCCAAGTAAACATCCACAGAATTGGGCCACATCTCTGTTAGCAGGAACTCATCGAATGTCTTTCTGGCAAGACACGGTATCTCATCCTCAAGCTCTCTTTTCTCACCATGAAATCTGTAGTGTGGGATGAGAATACCGACCTACTCTATAGGGCTGTTGTTAGGATTACTGAGATAATGCATGTGAAGAACTTTGCAAACTTAAAAAGAGTGTGCTATAAAATGCCACCACGATTTAGCTGATGGAAGTTGTCGTTCTAAACACCAGGTTGGTGAAGGCTGGACGAAAGCATTCAGTTGGGGTATTCTAGTTTGGGGGCCTAAACTCTTTGAGTTTTTGCATCTGACTTTCCCCTTGTTGTTGTTGTTGTTTAGTTGTTTAGTCGTGTCCGACTCTTCATGACCCCCTGGACCAGAGCACGCCAGGCACTCCTGTCTTCCAGGAGGCACTGCCTCCTGCAGTTTGGTCAAACTCATGCTGGAGCTTCGAGAACACTGTCCCACCATCTCGTCCTCTGTCCTCCCCTTCTCCTTGTGCCCTCCATCTTTCCCAGCATCAGGGTCTTTTCCAGGGAGTCTTCTCTTCTCATGAGGTGGCCAAAGTCTTGGAGCCTCAGCTTCAGGATCTGTCCTTCCAGTGAGCACTCAGGGCTCATTTCCTTAAGAATGGAGAGGTTTGATCTTCTTGCAGTCCATGGGCCTCTCAAGAGTCTCCTCCAGCA